TGCGAGCGACCGGAACCGGCTGCTGTCACCTGTTGTGAGCAGCTCTCTGCTGTCTGAGGGTAGGCCCCGCCCACAACGATGCGGCTCCCAGTGTTTTCTTTACTGTGGGAAATGGGTAATAATGGCTCTTTGATGGGAACATGTTGCCGACCCCTGGTATAAGATCTGAGCTGGTAAAACAAAAATCCTCATCAGCAGGCTTTTTTGAAAGTGGGTGGGGACACAGCTGCCAATCACAAATTTTGCCGGGGACATGTCCCCGGCGTCCCCGGTTAAAATGACGCCTATGTCCACGTTTACTCTTCCCAGAGCAGCTTCCAGTAGATTCACCGTGGGAACGGTGCACCCCTCCCCCCAGAGGCTTGCAGGATATTCCCCACATGAACTGTGCTCCCCTCGCAGCAGATTCGCCGCAGGACCGAAGCTGTCCTCAATAGCTCACTGCGAAGCGGGTTATACCACAGCGGTGGAATCTGCGTTCAAACTTCTTCTCATGCTTGCGGCAGAAAGAAATTAATCCAGATCTGAGTCTCATATATGTAATTTTAGTCAATTTTTGCACCTGTGTAAACTGACACCAACTCTATGTAAACAAAATGGGCTCTGCAGGAATTTGTTTTGCGAAACAAATGTACGCCTTTGAAGTTTTTCAGCCTTCAACCCTAACTGTCATCCATGCAAATACTTTGTATTTGTTAAAATAATAATTTGCAAAAGTAAAATTGTGAGTAAGTATATCAAATTTTGTAGAAGATCCTTTGTTTTTTATATTTAGCATGCCTTTCATGAATATTCATGAGTTCAACAGAATACATTACCCCCCCCCCCCCCCCCATCACTCAAGATAACAGTCACAGGTATGTCTTTTGAAGATCTGTAAAGTGCTTTGATACCTACATGCATGCATGCCTGCACAAGCACACACAGAGTGACACGTGTCAAAATGCTATTTTGCAGAATGAGCAAATTTTGTAGATTCAGTAAAGGCTTATTTTTTAAGTTACACTGTAAAAGCACAATTACCAAAAATTCTGAACACACAAGCATGCAAACTATTGTATGGCATCTCTGGCACACACAAACCATTTTTTGCAAAATATGTATTATAATGGACAGTCAGAGGTAAAGAAATACAGCAGAATCATTTCATTTAAATGCTGTGTCAGTCATAGCCCAGCTATATATGGAGAAAGTACACCATCTAGTGGAAAATGGTAAAAACTGCATATTCAATTTGTGAAAGAACTGTGAACACAGACGCAATAATATTTTTTTAAATTATGCTAATATTTATGCTAATTAGAAAAATATGATTTACATGAAAGTCAATGGCACAAAAATGCTGAAAGATGCTTAACTGTACAACATTTTCCACATTATAATAAAGGGAGTTTAATATTTTTTTCAAACTTTTTTTGTAATTCCTTCCAAAATACACAACCTCCATAAAAATTAGATAAATTGCATTAACATAGCCAAAGTTATTCACAAAAATACACATGTCGGCACAAAAAAATGCTTTAATGCAATGTAAGGGTTAAATTAACAAGTGATTAACAGGCATCTGCAGCACTTGATGTCATCCTGAGGAGGCAATGTAAAGCAGGTGTGCTAAAGCAGAAACATGGAAAACATGTAGGACAGTGTGCCTTGAGGACAAGTGTTAGGAAACACTGCTCTAGGGGAACCCGTCACTCTTTCAGAGGAGCCAGGTTCCCCTTACCTCCCCAGTAACTTGAACCCAGGAAACATCCATGCTCTTCTTGGAGTTGGACATGTTTGGGGCTGCCAACATCATGGAGTAAGATTTTATTTATTTTAACTTTTATTTCTGTGTGCGTGTCTGTGACATGCATGTGCCTGCTTATCGCTAACATTACTGTAGCTGTCAGTAAACTAACCAACACTAGTTTTGTGGCTCATTTTAACAACCTAAACTAACTCTGAAAACTTGTCTAAAGGTTCGAACTAACAGCACTGGTATTTTTAAACTCACCTCTAACAGCTGAACAAGTTTATTTTGAATGAATTATTTCTGGGCTAGCAGAGATAACACAGCTAACTTTACATGAGAAAGTAGTTTAACTTGGGAGTTGGTGGTTCCTTGTGGGCAGCTGTTCTAGATGTTTCATTTGTTTAATCATATCAGGATGAATTCAGGGTAAGACGCAGTTTAATTTTCAGTGTGTGAAGTCTTCATGTTGGATTTTCAAGCATTTTGGGTCTGCATCAAAACCTGCCGTGAAGCCGCGTGCTAAGTGGGCGGGGTTTATCCACAATTCCGTTTGATCCTCTTCCTCCTTCCCTGTGATTGGACAGGAACAGACTGCCGTGGCTTCTGGGGGGATATCTTTCTCCTTATTTCAATATGGTTATATTTACATACCGTAAATCCTCTAATACAGGCCCGGGCCTGTATTTGACTCAAGCTCATCAAGCTCCAGGCCTTTATTGGAAGGAGGGCCAGTATTAGAGGCAGGCCTCTATTTCTATTTGAGCAAAATGAACTAATGGTTCGCTGGAGTTTTTGACAATTAAAAGTGCGCCCACATTTTCAAAGTTAAACACATTTCTTTTAACAACGGTAGTTCCTGCTTCAGCCCTCTCCCCCCTCCCCCTGCGCAGCGGCGCAAACTCACTGATGTGCCTGCAGCCTCTCTGAGTTCCTGCTGCTCTAAACATTAAAATAATTATTTCATTTTCTGTTCCTCACTTCTGATGACCTTCAATGGTGTCTGTTTGTTGCAACAGCAGGTACAAAAACTAACTTGTTTTTATTTGACTATTTTTCTGTCCTGTCTGTTTATTATCTTCCTGCATCTCCTCTCAATCCTAAAGAAAAACTGCTACCTGGGTTCATATTTATTCACCTCATGAGTTACCTTTGAACTGCAGTTCTAAAAGATCTACCGACCGCAAAAACAGCGGAGCGCTTGCTGTTTGGCGGCTGTATCAGTGATCAGTGCGTCGGAGGACAAGGTGATGCGCGCAGCGCCCCGCTCCACAGCATGCAGCGAAACACATCAGGCGCAAATAAAAGACAGAAAACATTAAAGGAAATGAACTGACATGAACGATCGCGTGTTAAATTAGTTTTTGAGGTGGCGACACCTGATTGTTACTGTGGCCGTGCTCAGGAGGCAGATCTACCAACCGCGAAAACAGCTGAGCGCTCCCTGCTGTGATCTGTGCGTCGGAGGACAAGGTGAAGTGCCCCGCTCCACAGCAGCGATACACATCAGGCGCAAATAAAAGACAGAAAACATTAAAGGAAATGAACCGACATGAACGATCGCGTGTCAGTACCTACGGTCTGGCACTTGAGTTTTACCCCCAAAAAGAGAATGTGATCATACGATAATTCAATAGGGAGCGTGGTGTCACAGACGCGGAAGTGATAGCGTCGGTGCTCTAGGAAACCACCGAGCGTTCGAGCGTCAACGAAGTGACACGGAAATGCCGGGCTTTCCAGAAGTAAGTAAGATAACTTACTATGAGCTGATAGTTCGTTGGATTGATCGGTAGGTTGGAAACTCTGATCGTGAATCTGAAGAAACGATGACTGAGTGGTGAGCTGGAAAGGCGACTTCCATTTATAGCCGCGGTTTGTGACGTAGGTGCGACGTGAAGGGAATCCCCGCGAGGGGCATGCTGGGAGTCCCTACTTCGCGGATTTTCACCTATGGCGGCCAGGTCTGGAACGCATCTACCGCGATAAACGAGGGATTACTGTAGTTCATACACCCCCTACTGCTGCTCTCCAGAGTGTTCTGCAGCATGATCAGCACGTTCTCTTTGAACTTGATAGTGTAATGACCTGGCTGGGGTTGTAAGCCAGGTGCATTCTGGGTATTGTGTTATATGTGTTTCCTATCGTTCTGCTAGTTCCTATGTGCTGATTTGCGTGTTGTGTGAGTGTTATGTAAGCCACAGTGAAGGTGATGTGTGTTCTGTGGAGCGGGTTGAATTAGCATGGTTAACTGACACCGTGACTCTGTGTGGTAGGAGCGTGATAGAGGATGTGTCTGTGTTGAAGAAAAAGCCTATAAAAGGCTGCGTGAACTTCTACTGCCTCCTGCTGGTTGATTTGGGGACTATAACCCTGCCGCTGGGACACTCGTACTTGCTTGTTACCACATTCCATCCGGGCCATTATTTACCTCCGCTGACTCCGACACCGGCCAAAATTAAAATCGGAGACCCGGCCTTTAATTGAATACCGGCCTGTATTAGAGGATTTACGGTATTTTTGTTACTCAACAATGACTTACACACTTGAAGAAAAAAAATCAAATAAATGGAACAATTTAAAAAAGTACTTAAAAAAGCACACACGACACTGCACTTCCATGTAAATGTTTTGTAACCCTGCGCAGTAACTCTTTCATGTGCAGATCTTGCATATTAGGGGATCTTAATTTCAACAGAAAAAAACTATAGCTTTATACAATTAAATATATTTTCTTATAAAAATTAGGAAAAATGCATAATTTTGTTTCTAAATAAATCGTCCATAAAAGGTAGTTTTTTTTTACCTGGGAATAACCTGCTACTAAAATGCCATATTTTTATATGAGTCATAAAGACCCACTTCAGAGAAGCTGAGGAGCCACATCTTGCAGATCCATGAATTATCTGAACAAGACAATCCCAGTAAAACAAAACTATTTTAGGGTTTAAACAGCAGTCATTTAAAACATTTCATTTTAGTTTATACACAAGGAAAATGATGACAACATTGTGTTTTAATTATAAAAACTATCATTTATTAGTGATTCTGACTGATGATCAGCACATCTGTAAGGTATTGTAGCGGTCTGCACCGCCCTCTAGCGGGATGTGTGTGTAGCAGCAAAGAAGAGTCGACAGGTAGCAGACATAGAACACTAGCCGGATGGCTCCCCTTTTCATCCCTCCACACTGTCACGATGTGGAGGGAAGGTGAGGGAGGAAGAGTGGATCCTTCAGGCAGGTAAATCAACCCAGGCCAGACAGCAGCAGACATTTGGTTCCTTTTTAATGGTCAGGAGTGCAGACACGACAGGGTAGACAGATGTGAACATAAACTGACATGTAACGAGTACGAACCGACAAAACCAGAAGCAACACACAAGGCTTATATACACACAATGGGATGGGTAATCAGGTAAGAGGCAGGTGGACACAATTAAGGAAAAACTCAAGGCACAGGGGAGCAATAATGTGACACACGCATACATTTAACTCACGGTGCCACCAGGCACCGGATAAGAACAACACAGCGTGAACACCGAACTGAAACAAACCACACTAACATAACCCCGAACAATATAACCCTCAGAACACCACAAGCAGAATAAACAAACCCAATTTACCCCCCACCCCCCAGAGTGCAATGCGGCCTTGCCGGCCTATCAGTGGCAGGGCCGCCACAATATTCTTTTCTAGAACCCAAAATTACAAAAAAGATTTAGATGAAGAATCCAAAAACTTCTGAGTCTAAATGATAAGCAGATCATCTCTAGTCTGTCAACATGGAAGGAAAAAGTTTTAGTTATTCACATCTTCATCTTTCCAGTCAGCGGACTGCTCGGGTAAAGCCTTGAGAAACGTCCAAGGGACCAGATCGGGAAGACGTTTCTGTAGGAGGTGTAGTTGATGGCACAGCTCTTGTTGAATACGCCCGCAATGTTCTCCTTTAAAGTAGGAGAAATCATAATTTGTACTTTTTAACTGTGAGTAGAACAACTAATTATACAAGTGCGGGTCATTTGTCATAATCGTGTCATAACATGAAACACAGCCTAGACATCTACATATGTATGATGTAAACTGACCTGTGGCCAGTCTCCGTTGAGCAGCTGCTTATCAATCAACAACTGAACTCCTCTCTCAACGGCCTGCTGGTCAGGATGTCTGTTTAAACACAAGAGATTTGATTGTTGTTCAGTTTGTTACATGATCTTCTGACTCTGATTAAAACGGTGCTGTGTGTCTGAAAACATGTTAACAAAAGCCCAAAGCTTCACCTGACGGCCATGAGTCCCAATAAAGCCCAGCAGGTGTTGTGGATCTGAGCTGTGCTGCTCTGGACGTAGCGCCGCTGCTCACATGACTCAAAGTCCTCCCCCCAGCCTCCGTCCAGCATCTGTCGGTCCAGCAGGAACTGGCAGGCTTTCTGCACCTCATCAGGCACGTCCCTGGTCACAGAGAACACACTAGGTTCAGTCTGGGCAGCAGGAAAAGTCTTGTTTTCATTCAGAAGGTTTCCTGCAGGAACTTTGAACGCATTCTTTGCTCATCTTACTTGTTCTTATAAGTGTGACCCATGCACGCGAAGGCTTCAAGGCCAAACCATGTTCCATATGTGAAACACACTCCCCAGGACCTGAAGACAACCAGATAAACACTGAGCAATACCTGTCGGTCATCAGGAGATAAAACACCACGTGGAGACCCACCCTTCCCAGGATCCATCAGGCCTCTGCATCCTCCTGCAGAACTCCAGACCTTCTGTCAGAGCGGACCTGAAGCAGAAAAGACAAGAGGACATGTTTTGTATGTAAACAGAAATATGAGTTATTAGATCAATTAAGCAGATGATGCAGAGAAAGTCAGGCTACTTTAGCCAAACACTTCTGTGTTTTAGAGATGCTTTATGTAGTGATGTACGGCAATACTTTACAAAATCTAGGTTCAACTCTGGTTTTTACAAAAGTTTTATAACACTTGTTTCTGAATGATACAAAATCCAGAGTTTAGAGTTTATTTGTTAATAAATAATGTGAAGCAGACTCGTAATTGCTTTGAATCCACTGCTTGATAATAGGACCAAATATCTAAAGTATTATACTTACACTTATTTCTTTTGTTTGCACCACAGCAGGTTGTTTTTTTGTAGATTTTGTAAATTATTTTTGGTTTGTGATTTATGTCTTAGACTTGTCGACTTGTTACTGTCCCTGCTTTCTTGTACTTTATTTGCTTGATTGTCGGAGGACCCACTCAAAGCGAGATGACTCATCTTAAGTAGTTTTGTCCTTCTAAAATAAAAGCTAATAAATAAATAAGTGTAATACCTCCAGAGAAGGCTAAGCTTCTTTACCTAGCTTTAAAAAAGGCTTTATGTAGCTCGATAACACTGTGCAAAAGTCTAGAATCAGTCTCCGTTTCTATTGAATCTGATTTTGATTCCTACTTTTCTGTTCTGTGTAGGCGTGATTCGGTTATATCGTTTGAAGTTTGCACATTTTAAAAACCTTGAACGAATCATAAGTCAGAGTTAAGTTACTCAACAAAAAAAAAAAAGAGTACTAGATGGCCTGTTCATGACGTGTACCTTATCTCCTGAGTTTGATGATCAGGGTGGATCTTCTGAAAGTGCCTCAAAGCCTGCATCACAGCTGATGTACACTCTACATAAGTATAATCTATCATGATGTCACCTATTGGAGACAAAAACACATATGAAGCCACCTGAAAACAGACTGGTCAAGCAGTGCAGTAAGATTAACTTCTGTGGTGATCTTAAGATCCTAAGTATGAGATTTGGTTTGTTCTTTATTGTCGTTATCTGTGATCTGCATCACTATAAAGTCTTTTGAGGTGAGCGAGTTTAACCGTTTTGATTGGATCTCTGTATGAGACTTACCAAACACCTCAGAGGGGTTCAGCAGCTCCAGGAGCTTTCCTCCTCTCTTAGTTTCATAAGTAGCAAATCCACCATCTCTGTTCCTCATACTCAGAAGCTGCAGACCAGCAACCGTTTAGTTGAAAGAGAGTTTGGTCTGGCCTTAATGATCCAGCTGCAAAACCTGTTTTTCTATGAACTCACCACATTGACAGCATCATACAGACGTTCAGGAGTAAAGTGATGTCTGATGGAGGGACAGAGCTCCTCCAGCAGCATCACAGACTTCAGACCTTCAGCCGTGCAGTCGGCCACAATCCAGCCACAGTCTCTGGTGCTGAAGGGGAAACCTCCCTAGCGTGCACGGAGAGAGGCAACGTATGAGCGCCAGAAAAGACAAGCCTTTTTTATGTGACAACAGCTCAAAGGCATAACAGATTAGAATCTTTTTTTCTACTTTCTGTACCTTCTCAGATTAAACACAGATGCTAAATTATGAATTAAAATTGCAAATGACACATAACCTATGTCTTGGGCGGAAGACTAATGTTTCCTCAGCATAGAGATCCAGACCAACTGTAGCAGTAGCAAAAAGATTTTGCTCTGCAGGTCGTCTAGCCATGCTCCATTGTAGCCTCAGCAGGTCCACCATTGGCCTGAACTGTTGTGTTGTGCCATCACAGTGACCTTATGTTTGTTGGGTGGGCTTTGCAGCAGAGCTGCGATGGAGAAAAACTACAAAGATGGCGGCAGCTCAAGAACAACGCTCATTTAAATGGCTTTGGCATCAACTTTGGGCGATTTAGACTTGGCCTCTTCTTCGAGATATCAGCAGATAAGAGGTACCAAAGGCTTTTATTTTGAAAAACGACGTATAGGCTTCTTCTTTGACAGTGTATGACGGACTGCACCGTTGACTGATTTCCATAGAGATTAATATGTCATGTTGTTCATTGCTCTTATTTGTCCTTGCACTTTCCGATTACGTGCTGAGACCGTAGATTCTGTCCTATGACACACGTCACGTGGCTGGACTACTTATTTACACCTACAGGATGGTTTTCCAGGCTCATGTTTCCTGGCTTTCAACAGCAGTTTTCTCTAGATGATCCCTTCAGAAACTTCACCTGATACTGTGGTAGACTGTAGTAGTCTTTGCTAGTGAATATGTGTCGTGTGTGTGCATTAGGTACGGTATGCTGCACCTTGCTCATCTGCCTGTAGTATTTCTGGTATTCAGGAGGATTTTGAGGAATCTGTATGAGATGAAGAAGGAAGCATCCATTAAAAATCTGTCTTTTTTAATTTAATTATTATTTCATCTCTTAATGTTTGCTGTACCTGTGTGACTCTGAGAAAGTGATGGGCGTCACAAAGACTCTCGGCCAGTTTGGAGTCATTCTGAGCTCCGGCCTGAAAAAGCCCCCAAAACAAAGCAGTTTAACAGGAACATGGTGAGAATGAAACCGGTGGCCTTTTCTATTTTACCTCAAGAAAAGCCTGAACAGCAAAACATGTGTCCCAGAGCTGGGATCCATTTGTCCCCTGTGTGAATGAGGAAAGGACACTTGTAAGTCAGAAGTAGAGGGTGAAACTGGAAGGAAATAATCTCACCTGCATTTTTAGTCCATCTAATCCAAGCCTGGAACACAGAAACTTACTGTTACTTTTCACAATTTTTCTTCCTGTTTTATGAAATATGTAATTGGAGTTAGCATGTAACACGGAGTTTATTTTTGCTGGATGTTGACTGACCAGAGGTAGTCTGGGATCCTGGACACATGTTCCTGAAAAATGGAAGAGGATGGACCGTCCACATGCCAACGAACCAGCATGTTGATAGTCTTGGAGATCTATGGAGAATTATAAAATCATTAGATTTATCATGATTTGTTTTCAGTGCAAAGTTTGTTTTTGGTAAATAGTGTTACCGGTCCAATGCTGATGCACTTGGTGAAGCGATCGTCAGCCTGGACGTGCTCATAAAGCTCTCTGACAGCCTTTTCTCTCAGTGTGGTGCTGTGGTGGGCTTCATACACATTCATCACCACTACAGACAAGCAGAGTCAGTGTTAGAGACACCTGATGGGAGAAGACTCATTAAAACACTTATAAATATCTAAATTCGATGTAGCATCAGGTGAAAAGGTCCAGATTGTAATTTATTGGATACTTTTTTGTGATTTTCTTAAGAGATTTCCATCAACAGGTCCTCAGACTTCCTAAAGATTGTAGTATTTTTTCTTTGGGCTGTGACTGATTTTTACTCATCTTTCAGCCAAAATTAGTGGCTAACACTTTTACACATAGACGTGACCCAGACGTGGTTCAGGATGAAAACTAATTTACAAACTGGATAATGTTTATTGTTAAAATGTGAATATTTACTGTAGGCGACATTCAGCAGGGTGCTGTGAGGTGTGTACAAGTCACATGATGACACATTGTTCCTCTGAGCAGGCCAGTCAATGGAGGAATAGTCCTCAACATACAGCTCCTAAAGGACAAGACCGTCAGATGAACTCTGTAATGAGTATGGCTCCCTCTTGTGGTAGATGGTAGCTTCATCACCTGTCTGAGGCTGAGAATTAGGGGGTCTTCCTCTGCAGACAGTCTGACAGCGTAACAGTAGCTCATAGGCAGGTAGACCTGACGGCAGTGACACCACAGGGTGGAGGGATGGGCCGGCATCCAGGTGGGGAGAAGCCTGAATCAGATAGATATATATTTATCAGCCCTGTTCTCGAGAGAAAAATAAACACTAACCCAATTCCTGAACCTCAAGATGCAAGAAATGATGAGTGAATCAAGTCTTTTAAACATGAATTTGCTTTTGTTCATCCAAACATCAGCCGAGATTACGAAGGTTTTCACAAACGTCCGTCTTGCAGAAGAAACAAAGGACTGTTGGATCTCACCACATCTCTGGTAATAATGTGTTCATTCCCTCCCAGCTGTAGACGTTTAAAACAGCCAACCAGAATTTACCCCATGATGGGATCCCGACTGCACCACCTACAGGAAGTGAACCACAAACCAAGCTTGAATCAGCTGCAGAACATAAAAGCACAACTTGGTTTTATCGTTGCTTACAGAGGTCAACCAGATTTTCTTCTACTCTGACCTTTGCTGTGCAGGTTGTTCCGAGCACGAACCAAATCTGGGTCATCAGGATCCACCCCCAGGATCCTCAGGGATGTATAGCTCAGTGTTGTTCCAAACACAGTAGACTTATCTTCTACATGTCTGCAGAGAACCCAAACACTGCCGTCGTGATTAAAGTAGGGATGGTGTTTTTAAATACACGTTTCATCAGGTGTTTCTGGGTCGAGGCATAGAGGTGACAGGTCCAGGAGTTAAACCTTTATATTCCTCTTCCCAGCGGTGAGTCTGGGTGTGCTCCAGGGTTTCCTCTGTCATATATTTAGTTCTGGTTACTTTTCTGTCATCAATGGACTACCATTTTCCTACAAACCGTTTGTGATGCTGGGAGCCAGAACACCTTACACGCCACCCTGTATGACTTCTCTCTCTGTGGATTGTGGGCCCATATCATCTACAAATCTGGACTAAACTGAAGCTCAGCCACCAGGTCTCAGAAGACGGATTATAATCAGATCTTTCCTATTTCATCACTGTTTCATACTCTTTTAAGTAAAGCTGAAGCTGTACGTTTGCCATATTTGATAAACACTCTCGCAGATCAGTTTGAATAACAAAACAGTCTGATGTTGACTTACAAACCCCAGCCTCCATCTGGCAGCTGAACAGAACGCAGGTATCTCACCATCTCCCTTTTCCAGGCCTCTGGCAGATCAATTTTTACTACATGACCGGTGATGAGGAGACCTGTGATAAATGAGCATCCAAAAGACCGAAAAGAAAAACATAAAAGCAAATTTACTAATGCCAAAATCAAATAGTACATTTCAGACCGTTTTCATTACCAAAAGTCTTTTTCAAGGTTTTCAGTAAGAGTTCAAATAGTAAAGATTATTTATTCAGATTTAACCTGGGAGCAGAAAGAGGGGTCCACCATAGTCTCCAGCCCAGTGGCCATCCTCAGCCTGAAGGTGTCTGTAGAAGGTCATCCCTTTCTTAGCAGCATCTAAAGCTGTTTGAGCAGCTGGAGTGTTGGATACAAACTTACTCTGAGGAGAGGATTAAAAATAATCATCCAGATGCAAAGAAACTCATCACTGAGTTTTAATAACAGGAAATAGTTGAAACCTACGGTGTCTACTCCAAGAGAGTGAGCTTCCAGCATGCTCTGGGGTCTGTGGGGGGTTTCCTGATCCTCCACATAGCTCCAGGTCTGCCTGCCCTCCACATTAGTCAGCCTCCAGCACCTCAGGTCTGTAGCTGGTTCTGTTTTATAAGGTCCACCTCGCCTCCGCAGGCACCTGCAACAGGTGTGTCAACAATCACTCTAACTTCTGAATCAAGTTAAAAATGTACCCCAGTCCAGAATAAAATAATAATAATAATATATTATTATTATTACTCCTTATGTATTTCGGGGACAGGCCCCAAATAATACAAGTTGGGTCATCAGTTAATTAGGGGTTCAATCATTAAATTTTAATGTAAAGATGTGTGTGTGTGTGTGTGTGTGTGTGTGTGTGTGTGTGTGTGTGTGTGTGTGTGTGTGTGTAAATAAGGTTTTCCCTACTCACTTTTGAATTTGCGTGTGTTGTTATTTTCAATGGAAATTACAATAATTGCTATTATTATTGGTGTTTTTATCATTCTATTGGTTACAATGATTGTTGTTATTGTTATATGATTTCTTCTTATTTGCTGTTTTATTTACCTTACACAAAAATGCTTTTCTACTAACCCTTAATACTATCAAAACATTTATTGGTAAGTAAAAACAAACGTGTAGTTGCATTTATGGTTTTATTTTGTGGTCTCTAATTTATTAGCCATTTCTTAAATTGAATGAAATGAAAAAGAAGTTAAATACTCACGTTCCCTCAATCATTTTCTGGATCTGACAGACCCAGAAATGGCCTTCCCGATGATTCCAAAAGTTCTTGGCTGTGGTTTATAAAACCCCGCCTGTTTTATTTTGTATGGGAATTGTAGTTCACACCGCGCTGTTCAGAAACCAGTTTGACACTAAATAAACCACATCTCCCAGAAAGCAAAGCGGTGCCGTTCGAGGCCTCCTTGCGTGGAAAGACATGAGCAGAGACTTGACTGTCCAATCACGGACTACTTTGACGGAGAACTAGGCGGAGCTAATGTAAAACTATCCAATTAGAGTCTTCCTACAATAAATACACCACATGTGCTCATCGTGGACCCAATGACAAACTTTTGGGGGATTGTTGAGGATTACAAATGCACTAAAGGAAGAAAAACAGGATTATGGTTTAAAAAGGATGATAAAGAAGGAGTTTGAAGTGAAAGGAAAGTTTGGGATGGAAAATCGTGGGACTTTGAATGACATTTAGCCAGTGGAAAAGAAAAACCTCTTGAATACGTTTGTTTTTATCTTTTATGACTGCCATGGAGACCTTAAACTTGTTTTTACAGGACTGGCTATGTTTCCTGCTTGACAAAAACAAATACTATCATTTTAGGTTATAACTAATAATTAGATTGTATCTGGAAAAACTGATTTGTTATTACATCAAATGTCAAAAGCAAAGACAGGACAAAATAATCACCCAATTCTGGTTATCATTTAGGTCCGTAGAAAGCTCCTTTCCTCTCCAGCTAGTGGACCTTTTGTGACCTTCATCACCACCCTCCAATGGCGCCCCCTAGAAAATTGCTGCCCACCCCCCACCCCTCAGGAAAAGTCAGTGAAATCATATTAATTTTTACTCAAACGATAAACCAATTTTCTTTATTCAAGACATAAATGTAAAACACAATAAAAATTATACAACTAATGAGTAAAGAAATAACCAGATTTTTAAAAAATGTGTGTTTTTGCTTCTCAACATTTAAAAAAAGTTTTTATTTCCATAGTTTTTTGTGAACACAGCAACATGTAAATTAAACAAAAAAATAATAATACCTTTTGAAAATAAATAACTGAAATGGATTTTTCTGAAATGTTTGTGTTTGAGTTAAGTGTGTTTGAGTTATGTTTGGATACATACTGTTTTGTTTTGATCAAAAATAAAGCAGCAATGCTGTGCATCAACTGTCCCCGAGTTACCACAAGGACCAATTTGGTGTGCCACCCTAAAAGTTTCTTTGGCCCCATCTGGCCACCCTTATCAAAATTTTCTGTAGGCGCCCCTGCCACCCTCCTTATTCTGCTCTTTCTACCATCTCCCCCTTTCCACTGATCCACTGATTTTCCTCATTCCTATTAATTTTCTCTCTTCCTTTCTTTACATTTTTATCAAAAATTGTCTCTAATTTTAACCATGCTTTAATTTTTTATTAATTATTTTTCATATTTAAAATTGTTTTGTTCTTGTGAAGCGCCTCGTGATTTTTCTCTTGAGAGGGTTAGGGTTAGGGCTATATTCTATATAAAGGATGCTTTTCTATCTCTCTTTCTTTCTTAACCTTGTTTCCTGGTCCTTTATTGTAACTTGCACACTCCAAAAACAACTATGATTCAGTGGCACAATTTAAGTAGATTTCTATAGGAAAAAACATGGAAATGCAACACACAATAGACACGCCTGGTCCCCCTGAAGCCACCACCCGTGGTCATCAGTCAATAGGGCCCCAAATCTTCTCACACTGTCATGGTCTGCATCCTGCGTCTCCCTCATGTGTCTCCTTGTGTTCTCCATCCCTCTCTAGGTTTCCCTCATGTGTCCCCTTGTGTTCCTCATGTGTCCCCTTGTCTGCATCCCTCCTCATGTGCTTCCTTGTGTTCCCCAGGCCACTCCAGGTTTTTTCCCCTTAGGTGTTCCCCCCAGGTTTCAGCATCCCTGTGTGTCCCCAACCCCCTCCAGGCTCTCTAGGTTTCCCTTACGTTTTTACTTAGACACCTTTTATCATTAGTCTTCTGTTAAGTGTTTTATCTAGTCTGTTTTCTTCCTCTAGTTCTTTTTGCTCCCTTCCCCATTTTTAGGTCTGGTTTCCTCCCCTGCTCCGTTGTGCTCCTCCTCTGTTTATTGGTCTCACCTGTGCACAATTCCCTAATCACCCAGCCCTTGTGTATATAACCCTGTCTGCGTATCAGTATGGTTGTTGGTTCATTGTTTGTGTCAGCATTGTCTCACCCCCTGTATTAGGAATTTCTCTAGGTCTCTTGTGCTTTTGGATATTGCCAGGTTTTGATTTTTGGTTTTTGGCTTCCAGCCCTTTGGATTTGCCCCTAAATAAAGGATATTTACATTTTCACTACTCCTGCCTTGTGTCATCCTGGGTCTGCATCTTGGGTCCTAACCTCCCCCAACTCACAGTATGACACACACATTTGTTTTATAAGCCCCACCCATTGGTGATGAGGTTCATTTCTACTGGGCTATGTCGATCAGTTCAAAGGAATATGAAATATGTGACTGCATGCCACAACCTGTTGTGTATGAAAAGTTGTGCATAAACAAACAACTCCAACCTCATTACAAGAGGAACAGTTCATTCTCACAATCTGATAGAAGGCTGTGGGCAGTGTGTGTGCAAAGCCTTTTGGTTAATTTTCTCTGGGTAAACATCACAATGACTTACTTTGGTTTCGGCCCTTAAAAATACATTTAAAAAATCCCAAATATAAAGACGTGTCACAAACAGGGGATTAAAGTTCTAATCTAGTTATAATCCACTGTCTGTGTCTTCTGATTGATTGATGTGTTAGGCCAGCTCTTAGATTGATTATCTGACAAACAACATGCACATTTTGAAAGTGCATGACATATTTATTTATTTTGACATTTATGTACACACACACACACACACACACACACACACACACACACACACACACTCATTTGGACCAGCTCACATAGTTCACCCGACTCCCCATAAATCTCCAGTACATTTCATGGAAGCAGAAAGCACCACAGCTGCACACAACAAACACAAAATGTTCTGTACATAATAACCAAAAGCAGAACATTTATTTTAGGTCTGACAATAACAAAAATTAAATAAATAAATAAATAATACATGAAAAGTAAAAAATCAATAACATTTCTAAAAGCTGGTACTCTGAAGGTAAATAAAAATTGCCTTTCGGAAAGTATGAAAAGATGTGAGAGAACAAATGTCTGCAGGAAGACTGTTCCAGATTTGGGGAGCTTTTACATTAAAAGCTCTTTTCCCTACTTCTCTAATGACTCTATGAAGAAAAGAAAATCATTGTGACGAAAGCTGTAAGATGAGCTAAAAGGTACAAAAGGTTGTTTTAAGTACAGCAGATGATTTTAGTGGATGCATTTAAAGACAGATTGTAGCTAGTGATATTGATTTCTAGCTGAAAGTGTGAGTCAAGACAGCTGTTCCTACGTCACAGTGGTGTGTCCTAGAGGCATCAAAGGATAAAAAGCCACATAGGGAGTGAAGACAGGTTGTAGTTGTGTTGTGTAGGATGTAAATGTTGTGCTTTTAAGCTTAATATATTACCTTTACTTATGACCAATAAGCTGTGATACTCTATATAAATATAGAATATCAACCTGCTTGGTCTTTGGGTGTTTAATCAGAAGATTCTAGGATTCTTTTTCTTTTTCAGGGATCAAACACACTTCGTCTCAAATCAGACAGAGTCAGGTTTGTAAAAGATAAGAAATTTATTTTCTAAACAAATAAAAACCCGACAAGTTAACCAAGGCAACTGTGATGGATGAATCTAAAGAGGATGGGATGTATGGTGACTATGTATGAATGTTTATCAGAACCTTTGTATCTAGAAGAACTGAGTTCTGGGTGTAAAAAGGAGAATTTGGTTTGCATTAAGCTATGAAGTTGGTTCTTATCAAAAAGGCATCAGACGCAATCTGTGTGTCTACCTCACCCTTTCTTTGGAGAACCTCTTCGTGGATCTGAAGTTCAGGGAGGTCGGATGACCTCTGGGCACCGAGGTTTTGTAGATTAACCACAGCACCGACTCTCCAGTCCAGAGATGTTTCCGAGTCACAACAGATAGATGAAATTGTTTGCGTCTAGAACAGCTGTTTCTGAATAGCTGAAGGAGCCGTTTTGCTGTGTCAGCTGTAGCGTATAGCAGGGTTTTTGACAGCTTGTCAAAGATGCTCTGGGTTAAAGAGGGTTCGCTCCGGATGGCCTGTCCGTAGCTTTCTCTAGAACTGAATGCTGAATCTCACAGGATGCTGGAAGCTGGAAGCTGAAGTGCTGAATCACTGTAAGTGTTTCTGTTTCAATATTTTCATATCATGATTTACTTGGCCAAACGGGACATGCCATGTTAAGGGGTGTTCACAAGCAAACCTCAGATACAGGATGTTCTGATTTGTGGCTTCGAAAATATCTATGTGTCATGACTTTTATTTAACTTTAATTTATCTCTAATGAACTTTGTGTCTGAGTGTAGATAATGATTCACTTGTTACATCTAAAATTACTGATCATAATATCAAAATGTTTCATTTCAACCACAGTAATTTAAGCACAGATAAATCAACCTTATTCATTTAAGCACGGATTAATCAACCTTATTAATTTAAGCACGGATTAATCAAAACATTATTGATCATTTCATATAACATTTGTTCATTCCATTTCGATTGATTAACTCATATGAGCTGAAAATAGTCACTTTATTCAGAGGCATGAGGAATCCTGTAGAAGTGATAAGGGAAACTTAGGCCTTGAAACAGGAACAGTCAGTGTGTTCACATGCAGCCAGTAACCCTTTTAAAACCCGAATATTCACAATAACCTGGTTCCGCACGGCCATGTAAACACTGCCAAAAACCTGGATATGCTCATAACCGGGTTTTTAAAAACCCGGTTACTACACCTGGGGTAACCCTTTTCTAACCCGAATGTTTGGTCGTGTAAACGCATATCGGGATATCCCCATCAAAGCGTGTGTTCTGCACATGCTCTGTTCACAAGGAATCTTGGTCTTTTGAGTAGCGAGACGTCTTGTATGCGCCAGAACACCGGAAGTAAACAACAAGTTGGGAGCAACATGGCGAGTTGCGGCACAGCACCACACTTTTGGAGTGACGAGGAAACTAAAGCGCAAACAAACGCGGTCACTATCTCTTCCGAACTGGGAAACATGTTGTTGTTTTCACGGATACCGGAACAAGAAGAACTGGAAATGACGCATATATGCGTCTGGACGTAGTCCATACATCCTGACGCTACCCCAACGTCCGCAGTTAAATCGGGTTATGCAAGTTAGGGGTAACTCTTTCTATTTATGCTTGTAAACGGGTTATTCTGATCAACTCAGAAACCAGAATACCGACCTTAACCCGATCATAACCCGGATTTTGGCTGCATGTAAACGTACTCAGTTTGTTGACAACATGTTATCATGTGTTCCGAGCTGCAGAGAGGCCCGGACTCCAGCTAATGGAATGGCCGGATCCGACAGATTAAAGGCAACGAATGTAGGCTCCTGTCTCCACAGATACTGAAGGGGTCAAACTGTACATGAAAAACTGATCATTTGTGGACGTTACAGCTGTGATAAATAATATCCCCATAATCCAGGATTGGTAAGAGCACCTGAGAATCTATTATTTTCCCGACAGTGAAACAATTAACTGATTGATTTAAGTTTGCTTGTTATAGACTGCGCATGAGTTTTAAAGGAAAGATCACAATCCAGCCAAACACCTAAGTGTTTAAACATGTCAACTGATTCAAGCAGAGATGCATCTACAAAGCACAAATTAAGATTATTCCTAGAGTAACTCATGCTTTTCCTTGGAACAGCATGGAGTGTGATTTGAATAAAGTTCACTGGATGATAGCCATTGCTGAGCACAACATCATATAGAGAATTTTCTACATCTATGACAAGCATTAAAAACACCTAAAAACCTTCTTCTGTCAGGATTCTCAGGACTTGTGATGCAGAGAGGATGGGCTCGGGTAAAGGTGTGGCTTCAGACAAAAGCATCAGATGACATCCAGACACAGCTCACCTGCAAACAGGAAGTTCACCTGTTCAGCTTCAGGAAAAACGGTTGTTCACAGATCATTAGGTTATTTATTCTTGTTTTAGATTTTGGAATTAATTGTGAATTGTTCATTTTGCCTTTTTACAACAGATATTTCTGCTCTTCTGACAACAACAGACCTGTTTCTAAAATGGATCGACACCATCACGGTAATTTTTTGTTTTTCATGTTCTGACTAAAATAACTAGTTTTTAAAGCTGATACGATGAGTAGTTTGAGTTGCCCAGATTCATTTAAAGGTTTTTACTGAAATTGTGGCATTCTGATTTAGCTGGTTTTTTGCTAAGTCCTGGCAGACCTTGGTTACGGGGGCTGCACTCATAGCAAACTAAGAAAAGTGAACAAGCAGATGACAAAGTAAGATGTGTGAAGCTTCAGAACATCATCTGAAATTCATGCCATAAAGAAGTAGAAACAACTTCTGCAAAGGCGTGGCACAAAAGCTACATCTTACTTCCACTGATGCATCAACAACATTTGCCATCAAAAATGAAAGTGCCAGAATTACAAAGTTTGTCAAAAGGTGCAGATACAGATGTGAATGTCAGTAAGTAAAGAAGTAAAGGTTAAAAGGACATTTCTTGGAAATGTTTAAAGCCTAAAACAAACTAAACTGATAAGTGTTACGACAACTGAGCAACCAGAAACAGAAATCAACAGAGCGAGCAAAATAATGAGAACTTAACAGGAAACTCAGTCTACAAAGAACAAAGCAGAAGTATGACTGCTTGGGCAGGGGATAATTGAATGAGACGCAAGTGGCAGATTAAAGTCCAAACAGAAGAGTTCCTCAGAAACCAGGAGTGCTGCTGATTAAGATCACTTTGGAGAATGCTGGAAAATGTGTCTGCTTGAAATATAAAATGTTTTAATCTGAGCTGATTTATTGCTTTTATTTACCAATAAACTATAATTAATACTAATTTTGTTCATATTTCCAGGAGGACATGGTCATGGACATGGACATGGACATGGACATGGTCATGGACATGGACATGGTCATGGACATGGACATGGACATGGACACGGTCATGGTCATGAACATGAACATGGACACGGACACGGTCATGGTCATGGTCATGGACATGGTCATGGACATGGTCATGGACATGGACATGGACATGGACACGGTCATGGTCATGAACATGAACATGGACACGGACACGGTCATGGTCATGGTCATGGACATGGTCATGAACATGAACATGAACATGGACATGGACATGGATATGGACACGGTCATGGTCATGACTCGTGTGGTGGGAAAGACCATGAACAGAAGCGGAGGCACAGGCACTTGTTTGGTCACGAGCATAAGAAATGCCACAAGAAGGGGCGAGACAGCCGTGGGGTAAGAGCTTGTTTGTTTTTGGGGATAAATCTGGTTAAATCGTTTTCTCAGATGTTATCTGAAGCCACGTCAGTGGCTACGTGCTCCAGAAGTTTCTGTATTCTTACAGAGGGAGGAGCAAGTGCATTGTTGTCAACAATACCCTGTCACGTGTCAGAATCATCATATAAACAAATGTTTCTTGTTTCTGTTCCTCCTGCAGGATGTCAGCAGCTCCTGCAGCAGCGACTCTGAATAGGTCATTACTGTAAACACGACAATCAGTTTTATCACTAATTTACTGCAACTTCATTTACTTTTACTTTAAATTTAATCTGTAACCTTTCCCTCAAGTGCATTTTTGTGCATGTAACTGAATGTTCACCTGACGTTTAATACTGATTTTGTGGCTGTAAAGGATGGCCTTTTATTTGAATGAGTCATAATAAATTTCTGGGTGAAAACATAAAGTCTGTGCATTGATTTTTTTATTACAGTCTAGTTTATGGAAATTTATTTCTGCCCTTTTAAGAAAGCAAAAGTTTAAAATTCATTATTATTTTAATAATTAAACTTATGTGTTTTCTCTGAGATATCAATCTCACCTGCTAAAGGTAGGTGATCACATTGCTTCAGCTTTTACTGAACAGATGAACTTATCAACACGTCCAACATCCAGCTGCGTTGGGTCACTCTTAGCCAGCTTCAACTCCAAAACACTTAAAGTCCTTGACGCCATCGCACCTGAAAAGGTCAGACTCATTTCAGGTGGACAGAAAGCTCCATGGAGATTCGCTAGATCTGTTACTAATCTAAAGCGAGAATGTAGAAAAGCAGAGCGTCGATTCAGGACAAGTAATTACCAGTTCGCTATCAGACCTTCAAAATGCAGCTGTGTACTTATAACGTGGAGATAAAAAAGGTGAGAAGCATTTTTCTCAAAAGTCATCAATGATAATATTAACAGTTCCCATGCTCTGTTTGCTACTGTTGAGAGGCTAACTAACCTCCCAGCACAGTTAGCCCTGGACTTCATTTCTCAGACCAAATGTGATGAGTTTGCATCTTTCTTCAATGAAAAAATCACAAACAATAGATTGGCCCTTCATTCCTCTCAGCTAACACAACCAGACCACTGACACAGCCACACAGCAACTACCTGGCCAGAATGCCAACTTTCACCCTGATTAGTACTAAAACACTGAATGACGTAGTAAAGACCCTAAAATTCTCTACCTGCTGTCTGGACAGCCTGCCTACAAATATCTTTAAAAATGTTTTAGTTGCCTGAAAGCTGAGGTACTGGAAGTAGTTAACTGCTCTTTAACATCAGGTCTTTTTCCTAAAACACTGAAAACTGCTGCTGTGAAACCTTCTAAAGAAGAGGAACCTAGATCCCTCAGTGTTGAACAACTACCAACCGATCTCTAATCTCCCTCTGATCGGGAAAAATCGTTGAAAAAGCGGTAATGATCCAAATAAACTACTATTTAGAGTCAAATAACATTATGGACGGTCTTCGTTCAGGCTTTAGACAGCACCACAGCACAAACACTGCACTGATCAAGGTATTAAACACTGATTCAGGTAAAGCGTCTGTCCTGATGATGCTTGACCTCAGTGCAGCTTTTGATACTGTGGACCACAACATCCTTCTGGACAGACTCACAAACTGGGTGGGACTATCAGGCACAGTTGTTGGCTGGTTCCAATCCTATCTGAAAGACAGTGGCTATGTTGTCTCTATTAGGGAATACCAATCAAGGTGGATCACCATGACATGTGGAGTCCCCCAAGGCTCAATTTTAGGACCACTACTCTTTAATCTCTATATGCTCCCCCTGGGTCAGGTCATACACAGCTGCCCTGGGGCACACTGACAGAGGCGAGGCTGCCGAGCACAGGCGCCACCGGTCTCTCCGACCACCACCAGCAGGCAAGGTGGGTTAAGTGTCTTGCCCAAGGACACAACAGCAGAATTCTCTGTCCGGAGCCGGGATCGAACCTGCAACCTTCTGATTACTGGACAACCCACTCAACCAGTTGAGCTACTGCTGCCCCAAAATAAATAAATAACTCACACACATATATACTGGGCTGGGGAGCAAGAGGCTGGAGCTGCAACTGGAGGGACAGAGGATAACTAAATGAACACCGGACCTGAGGGAATGATAAAAAGGCCTACAAACAGAAGACACAATATAGAGACGCAGACAAAGGACACATGAGGGCGCTATGAGACACAGAAGGGAATCTAGAGAGGATGGAGAAACATCAGGAGGCACATGAAGGAAGGGGCAGACGCAGACCGTGACAGTTGGGATGAGGTTGTTTATAGGACCGGTCTCTAAAACATTTCTTCTTCAATTGTACTTGAGATCAATGTTTATGTTTATGTATTTAGCAGACGCTTTTGTCCAAAGCGACTTACAAGTGATAATCGGCATGTTGCCCTTGAGGCTAACAACAACAATAACAACAACAACGTGACATCAGTCATGGAGAGGAGGGAACAAGGAGTGGACAGTAGAGAGGGGGGACGGGTGCAGGGAGGGTGCTAGTTTAGAAGATGCTCTCTGAAGAGCAGGGCCTTCAGGAGTTTCTTGAAAATTGAAAAGGAAGCCTAACAAGGAGGCATTTGTTTTGTCAGTGGTCCGTGTTCTAGATACGGTTGAATGAAGACCTTTGTTCCACTAACATCTCCACACCCTGCAGTTCACCTGTACAACCACCTGGCAGACCTTGTCACACATTTATCTTTTATTTATTTTTGGTCTTGAAACTCTGGTATTTAACTGTTGCATGGAATATTTTCAACATGCTGCCCTTCTGGTTTGTTCTGCGTGCGGGAAGTTGACCGTACGGTGTGGCTGAATGGTAGAAATGATGTCTTGATTGAAGTTGGAAACATGGACCTGTCAGATTTATAATTAATGGCTGGAACTTCCTACACAATGTTTAGTTATGAGGCTAAGAAGACTTTAAACTGAAAAAAGGATTGTTTTTATACTCATATAAAGCAGGAAAGACATGGAAGTTTAGAAGGGTGTGTTTCCATAAAGAAGATTGCTTATAGCTCTTATTGACAAGTTAATGATTATATAAACACTCTTGTAGGTCAGAAAGCAGGAAAGACCTGCCTATGATGATGTGATAAGGTGCAGCAGAGCATAAAAGGAGACAGCAAGTCACAACTGCATCACAAGATTGTGCAGATAAAGGTCTGAAAGCTTTTTCTTTCTGAGAAGTTAGTTGAAATTTGCTGACTTTTTTTAAACACGGTTTTTAGTCTTTCTGAAACTCTAGCTTCACCAGAATGTACGCACATAACCAAGGTAAAGGCTACCTAGCATCCTGACTGACTGTGCCTTACGTACCTGATGTTTCTCTGTGGCTCAGGGACTGATTTGTGTTCTTTCTTCTTGCTCAGGAAATCAGTATCCAGGTGGAAACCCTGCATTTCCTCCACAATTATCAAACTGTCCTCCTATGCCTGGGCCTTGTTGTAGTCAGGGACAAGGACAGGTCCTTGGAAATGGACACGAGCATGGACATGGACATGGACACGAGCATGGACATGGACATGGACACGAGCATGGACATGGACATGCACATGGCCATGGGCATGGGCATGGACATGGACACGAGCATGGACATGGACATGGGCATGAACATGGTCATTGTCATGGGCACAAGGACAAAAAAAAAGACAAGAAAAAGGACAAAAAGAAGGACAAAAAGAAGGACAAGCACAAGGGTGGCCATAAACACGACAAATGTCACAAGAAAGGACAAGATTGCCATGGGGTAAGATTACTCTGTCTTGTTTGTTACATTTTCTACAAACCTTTGGGTAATTTAAATCAGAAGTAAAAGGAGCAATACAGCTAAATAGTCGTAGACGATGTTTTAATCCAACATGATAAAAGTCAAGCCAGTGACGTAAAACGAGTCCTGAACTAATCTGTTTCTTTCTTTTGTCTTCTTTAGTCCTCCAGCAGCTCGTGCAGCAGTGATTCTGACTGAATGCCGCAGAGACCTGCATGAGATTAGGATTTCATTTGTTCACAATTTAAAATGTAGAGCAACATGAGTTATCGGCATTATAAGATTCATTAAAGAAAACCACTGTGTACTTGTCATTTGTGTTTAGTTTTCCACCCAGTTATTCATTTATTTTTGTCCGTGACACACCTTGAGTCCAGCAGCTCTCCACCACACCCCTCTTTGCTGTTATTCTTATCTTATTTTGATAGCCGGTGCCATCAGTCACCTGAAAACATTTAAATACACCCTTTCATACAAGTTCACACACACACACACACACACACACACACACACACACACACACACACACACACACACACACACACACACACACACACACACACACACAAAGTATGAATTTCTATCCATATTAGGACTTTGTATTAACTTTCATTCATTTTAGTAACTGCCTTTATGCCTAACCCTAATCATAACCAGTGTAGTCCTAAACCTAACTGTAACAAAAACTCAATCCACATCTTACCTCTAAACCTCACCTTTAAGCCTAAAACAGGGGGTCTGCCATATTAGGACCGGGTTTTGGTCCTAATAAGGCCCATCGGTCTCCAGAAGATTAGTGAAAATACCGGTTTTGGTCCTAAGTAGAATAGTTTTACAAGTACACACACACACACACACACACACACACACACACACACACACACGCGCACACACACACACACACACACACACACACACACACACACGCACGCATGCACGCACGCACGCACACACACACACACACACACACACATGCACGCACGCACGCACGCACACGCACACACACACACACACACACACACACACACAAGGTCTGCCTTTGAATGCTATATTCAAAGCATTGTAGTGAGAACAATCAATGCTAATGTGAACATGAGTAGATACCCTATTATACACCATTTTCTAAATAAAATATGTTTCTGGGACAGAACAACTTATGGCTGGTTTGGAAAAAGAAATCTTCTGATCTGGCAGTGCAGGCTTAGGTTGGTAAAGTATTATCTGAAGAAATTGTCAGACTTGAGTTCACCATGAGCTCCTCTGAATAGCGTTCTAGAGCCTAGGGCGAATCTGAACTGAGTCCATGAACAGAACAATGATCCCAAACTCAGAATAACAGAGTGGCTATAGAAATAGAAAATAGAAAAATTTGTTTGCTAATCAGCATCTAAAAGAGTGAGCCTACATCATAAACATGTGTGAGAGACTGACATATTACTGAAAACGCTTCCATGGGTAAACTAATTCTTTAATGGATAGTTATATTATAATCTGAGTCATAATATGATATAGTATGTCATAACTAAGAGATAGTATCTTATTATCATGTGAGATAGCTAAGAGCAGTGCCTACACCACACTCAGGACAATCCAGACTCTTCTCATGCATCGTTCCACATTCCAAGCACTACCAGAACTGCGGCTTCCTTTTCAATTTTCAAGAAACTCCTGAAGGCCCTGCTCTTCAGAGAGCATCTTCTAAACTAGCACCCTCCCTGCACCCGTCCCCCTCTCTACTGTCCACTCCTTGTTCCCTCCTCTCCATGATTTATGTCACGTTGCTGTTGTTATTGTTGTTACTTTTAGCCTCAAAGGCAACATGCCGATTATCACTTGTAAGTCGCTTTGGACAAAAGCGTCTGCTAAATGCATAAACATAAACAAGTCATAATTATTATATACTATCTCATAATTTCTCATTCTGATTATTTGATAGTTAAGTCGTAATTATGAGATGATTTCGTAACAGGCTGGCGGAAATGGCTTCCGTACTTTTAAAATGAGACCCATCTAGTAAAGAAAAGGTCGTGCAGTTGTTTACCTGTTCTCCAACCATCTGCGGTCTCTCTAGTGTCCAGTAGATGGCAGTGTCGCGCGGGCACATCAGAACCAACCAATCAGCGAAAAGTTTACACCTCCTCCCGGAAGTAAACAGTAATTTTTTTTTTATTGAACTTTTTCATTTACAAACAACATGGCATAAATTCCTTTGTTTTACATTACCCGGGATCAGGTGCAAAAAAGGATAACAAAAGAGATTTTGCGTAGAGAGCAATAATATTTGTGAAGGAAACAATCAAACAAAAGATAAATAAATAAATTAAACAAACAAAAAAAGAGAGAGAGAGCTAGGGCTTTGTTTTCAAATCATACTTTTCAAAAAGATTAAGGAGTTTCATTGCATGTTTACTTTTCATAAATTTAAGGGCTTTGGAGAAAGAAAGACACTCGTTATGAAATGCATAGAATCTAGGTTTCATCTTTCCATATCTACATTTGTGAATATAAAATTTAGCAACAATGATTATGTTATTTACCAGAAAGTCCCACTCAGTATTATCTAATATGGCTCCATAAATGACATCGTTCTCCGACAAGGGTTCAATACGCATCTTTGTGTATAGCCAGTCATGTATATCAGTCCAGAGAGCTTCAGAGTAGATGCATTGAAAAAATAAATGAACAGAGGTTTCTATATCATCACAAAATACACACTTATTTGTTTCAAAACCACATCTCTGTCGTAAGAATTCCCCAGATGGGTATACGTCATTTAAAACTCTATAATGGATTTCTTTGGCTTTTGGAGTTATAGGAAATTTGAGGTATTTAGAGCGTAATGAGTATATAATATCTATGGAGAAAATTTGTTTAATGGAATTTCTGAAAGGCAGTGAAGGGTGTGAAATATCATCAAGCATTTTTCTAATTGTTTTATTAGGAGTTTTAACGCTCTTGAAGTCGAAGTTCCCAGCTACTAGATGAGGAAGAGCAGGGGAGACTGAATGAGAGTTCGAAACAATTTCTTGAATTAGATTTAATGTAGGAATAGGGATGGCTCTTATTATGGAAGCGAATGAATTCTGATCAACTGTGATGTTATATTTATGACAGAAATTTTCATGGGTCATCACACGCCCATCATTATCAGTTAAATGAATTAGGGACCAAATGCCTTTGTCCATCCAGTCCTTCTTATATAATGATTTGTTTTTAATTGTAATATATCTATTGTTCCAAATTGGCGTGTTGTGTGGAGTGAAATTATGGTTGTATAAAAGCTTCCAATATAAAAGGACTTGTTGGTGGAACTGGGATAATTTAATCGGAAGTTTCTTAATATTGAAATCGCATTTTAACAAAAGGTCAATGCCTCCAAACCTTTTGAAGATTTCCCTGGGTATATGATACCAGAAGCTTTTATTGTTAAAGAAGGATTTTAACCAGTTAATTTTCAGTGTTCCATCCATGATCTCAAAGTCTATAGCTTGTAGTCCACCATCTTTATATTCTTTGGTCATTTCTGCTCTCTTAATGTAATGCATTTTTTTCCTCCATATATAATCAAAGTTGATTTGGTTGATCTTTTTAATGGCTCTGTTAGGAATGGTCAGTGAATATGCGGGGTAGATACATCTAGATATGCTCTCCATTTTAGTAAGAAAGACACGCCCAAGTAAACTGATGTCTCTCAACAACCAGGAGTTTAGTTTAGTTTGACACTCTGCTATTGTTTTCCATATATTCAAGTTTTCCCTTTCAGTTGGGTCTTTGGATATATGTATTCCTAAGTATTTTACCGTAATCGGGACTGTCGCTACCCGATCCGTACCGGAAACCCGATCGGTACCACGCATGCGCGAATGTTACGTCACTTCCTCTCTTTGCCAACTTTGCGACAGTTACCGACTGCGGGACGTTTAAACAATGAATACCTCCGAAACCAAGGGAATTCATGATTTTCTCCTCAACGGAGAGCTTCCGACGATTGAACAAAAGCGCCGTAAAATAAGAAGAATGGCGCCTAATTACAGACTTAAAGGTAAGTACGAAAATTAAAGATGATCTTTTATCATGGTCTACAGCTGCCCTTGCTGCTTGAGGCTACAGACTCTCCGTTATTGTTCTAAAGTTGCATGACGCCTGCGTTGATTCAGGAGGGTGTAACGAGTAATATCAGTGTACAGTGTATACGTGTAGCATCGTCTGTAATATCGAAACTCTATATATAGGTCTATATCATGGTGTGTGGTCTTATTTTAGATTTTTTTAAAAATCGTAAATACAATATCATATATATAGCCTATATATATATATTTTTTTAAAGATAATTGCAATTGGAGGTAAATGTACCATATTGGTGCAGATCTCAAACTTTAATATCTGTCAGACATTTCAATTTACTTTAGTCAGCAACTCTCATCTTTTTTTTTTTTTTTTTCATTTTTATCTTGTTCCAGACAACAGACTCTTCTACACTGGCCCCAGTATGCAGAGCATGCGCCTGCTAGTCATGTCAGAGGAGGAGAAGAAGCCTGTTTTGATGGAGTGCCACAATAACCCTGGTACCGGGAACCACAATGGTGTCAGAGGTACCCGAAACATGGTTGTTGCTGGCTTTTACTGGCCAACATTGAACCAGGACATCAGTGAATGGGTAATGGCCTTATTTGAGTGAAGAAGCTAAATCAGGTCGTCATAATTTTTTCTAAAACATCTGTAGGCTGAATAATTGAATGTGTTTACTTGCACACTTACATTTCAACATTAGTTTCTGTCTTTTTATTTTATTATCAATTTACATCAACTGCTTTAGGGTTTCCTAGACATATTGTTTGGAATACGCCTTTCAGGTCAGATGTTGTCATCGCTGCCAGATGAATGACCCAATCAAGACCGTGGCACCAACATTACATCCCATCAAGGTACATCTTAAAGCTATTTACATTTAATTTTCAAGTTAATAAGCTTGTCTGCTGCAGGTTAGCTTTAAATTTTCACTTGATAAGTTCTGTGACCTGCAGGTAAAGAACCTTGGGAGTTGCTGGGCATGGATTTAATTGGACCACTCCCAGAAACACGTCTAGGGAACCGATATGTCCTGACCATGACCGTTCTGGGTGATTGCGGAACCTCTTAAGTCCAAGACTGCTGCTGAGGTCTCTGCAGTCATGACGTCTAAGTTATACATGTTTGGCATGGTGAGGAAGATCATCACTGACCAAGGAAAGGAGTTTGTGAACCAGGTAAAATTTGTGAAAGTGTTAGTCGTACCTTGACATTTGAGATGATGTATTTAGACCAAGTCTGCTCATGCCACTGCAGCTCAACGACAGCATTTTCAGCATGCTGAATATTAAACATGCTGTCTCCAGTGCTTACCACCCCCAGACCAACAGGCAGGTTAGCATTTGGATATCTAACCTTGAGTAACTCATGGGAAATCAGTCATGCTTCTTTATCTATTCTGCAATACAACTCAAGGATGAGAGGACCAACCAGAACATTAAGCGTGCTCTCAGAAAGTACGTGAACCAGAACCATGACGACTGGGACGTTCACCTTGCTGCTGTGGTGTACGGCATCAACACTGCAAAGCAGGTATTCCTATTTTGACATTTTGTATGACTTTTACGCTGCTTCACAGTGTAGCATCGTCTTAAGAATGTTTTTAATTTTGTTTATAAAAAAAAGAAGTTATTGACAAGTGCAAGAGAAAATGAATTAATGGAGAGATTTTGTGTGATCAGCACTCCACCCGCCACAGTCCCTATTTCCTGCTCTTCTACCGACATCCACGTCTTCCTGCTGTGATGAACACCTGCCCCATGGACGATGACTTTGAGGTGGCAGACCCAGAAGAGGACATCGACACAAGAGTTGAGGAGATGACGGTTCTGAATGAAACAGTCTGTACATTTGAAGAGGGCTGACTGACAGGGAAAGGAGACTTGTTGAGGAAAAAAGGGGAAATGTGGTTAGTGTATTCAACATTTTTACTGCTTTAGTAGCTAACTTTTCTGTATTTCTATATTTCCAGAATGAGCATTGCCATGGCGACCTGGTGAATAATAAATATTTATATTTCTCTCTCTGCTTTTCATGTAATGTTTTTGTAGGTTCTTCGCAATATTGAGAGGGCACAGGACACCCAGAGGAAGACCTTTGGAACACGGAAAAGGAAGCTAGTAAGGCAGTGTGTTGTTCAAGCAGGCGATGACGTGCTTTTGTCAGGAGAAAACAGGAAGAGACCTTGAGGTATGTTTTCAGTGCAAAAGTTTGAAAGCTCATCAGGTGCATCATAATGCAATTAACAACTAGCAGGTGCATGTCAGCTCTCCTCATTTAATGAAACATGTTTCTTTTTACAGTTCTTTCCCCAGCAGTTCATGGGAAATTGCTGCGGCATCTTTATGATGATGGTGAGAATTTTCTTGCCATTACTTGAATATAACATTTTAACATGTTAAAGATTGATTTTACTTTACAGTATGTTCTCTGCATCTGCACCTCATCTCCACCATCTTTCACAGAGGTAAGCTTTTTCAGACAGTACCACCAAAGTATCTGTGCCAGTCTCCAGTCTTCATAAACCTTACATTATATTTGTCTTCAGTAGGAAATGCCAGCAATTCGCCTGTGGTGGTGTATTCAGCTGCTGGAGAGATTCAGCATTGAGGGGTATGGCAGGCACTTTAGACAAACTGGCACCATCATATTTGCAGCTTTGGTTCAGGCAAGACATCAAGTCAAACAAATGTTTGTGAAAGTGGCTTACTGTAAACCCTGTGACCGAACATACTGAAGAAAGCAGCAGTCCACAACTAGAGTCCATTCAGACTGGCGTTGTTTTCTAAAGGCATGGACAAAGATTTGCCTTCTGGAAAGAAGAAGCATCCCTTCTCCTCCAGGGGACTCTCCAGTCTGTCTTCAGGGTACCAAAGGCAACCTCCTCCAAGCCTTCACCAAGTCTAATCAGACCGGTGAGAGAGGACAACAATCAGATAACTATTTGTAGGACAGAACCACACAATGTTGAGACTATTCATCACAATGCAGGTTTACATACATGGTGGTAGTCTTCATTTCAGTCTAATGTGATAATCATGTTTTCTGTTAAAGGTTGAGGCTGACTGGTGTCTTACACTGGAGGTAATCTATTGATTTTCCTGTTTCTTTCATTTGTTGATATAACTGAATTAGTAGTTATAGTCACAGGCAGCTCCTTCAGAGACATTATCCAGTAGTAGAATGAAGTAATAGTTATGAAACACTACTCAATGTAATGTGTTTTCAGTCCTCATATTTCTGAAACTTTATGGACAAATTTTGTATTTTCACTATTGTCACGTGGCATAAATTTTGCAGTTACCAGAACGTGTCCTAATGGACATATTGGAGAGTTTTGTGAGAGTTTTTGATCATTCTTCTTGGAGTACTATAGCAAAAACTGTAATGCTCTTGTGGCAAGGTGGATAAACGAGGGCCCGGGCGGGATTCGATCCCCAGACTCCCGGGTGAGAGTCATACGCTCTAACCAGTCAGCCAAAGGGACTGATCAAGGATGATCAATCGGGACATTGTGACAGGACACTCACACTGTCACACTCTGTTTGAGAAAGTGAATCTGTTGGGCTTGTACCTGGTACTCAGAGTACCACACTGCCAGAAAGGGCACACTGAAAATAAAAAGCTTTTTATTTCCATCAATATGTGTCTCCTTATTCAAATAATCTGGGTTGTAACCATCCTCTCAATCCTTTTTCTGTTGTTCATGCTCTTGTAATCTGTTGTTTGTGTTCCGCATTATTACAGTAAACCTGTGGAAATTATGAAGTGGTCCTGTGTTATTTTATATGGATATAAACATGAGTGTAGTTAAATCTGTATTTAATATGTTTAACTTATGAATACCTTGAGAAACTTTTCAAACATTAATTTTGCAACATTGTGAAAATGATCACTATGGTATTACAAAGAATTAAGTTATTTCAAGACAAAGTGGCAAACTAAGAAATCTAACACAAAAGTAGAAAGTAAACAAATTTTAGGTGATGAGCCAAATTGGCTTTTGTGCAAGAATATATTACATTTCATATTGGAAAACATTCATAGGACATGTAGTGCAAATTAAGAATATCTGCTGTATCACAGTGACACATTTTCATCTTTTAAATGAAAATATAACCTATTGTGTGGAGAAAAAACAAACATGTAATAGGTTACCTGAAGACTAATCAGCCAGTGTTTACTGACAATTTACAGTGGACATTATCAACAGAACATCAAGATAATTCAAATCAATCGTCTCCACACATACAAGCATAAACACACTAAATCAAATTTAACACGCATATAAAAACATGATTTGTAACAACGCAAATTCAGTTTACAATCGGGCTAATTCGCTCGGTCAGCAAGTGGCAGTATCCTCGTACACTGCGGAGTAAACTGCCATTGAACGGATCACAAGAAGAATAGAGCATCTGCACATGCGCGGTACGGATCAGGTAGACCCGATCTGTACGGTCCGACGTTTTTTTTTTTCATTTTTATCTACATTAAATTGAAATGTTTCACTATTGCAAACATTTAAATAGATACTTATTATTTTTTAACATCTTAACATACTCTGACCCGTAACTATCGTAAAATGCTTCGAGCGGAAGTAGACGCCTTTCGCGCATGCGTGGTACCGATCGGGTAGCGACAGGGACAAAAGTCTTACTGACCGAACTACACAAATCAGATAATAATTTTAAATAATGTCCTTAACGGTTTTAGCATCTGCTTACAGGTACGTACTTGCTGACGTCGTTTTTTGCGTAGACGTTGTGACGTGATGCTTGTTGCGAGGCATCGTTTTTAATGGGAGACATTTCTACCTATAACACTAGTTAGCTCATTTCTCTGAATAGTCTGAATGAGAACTGCTCAACTAAACTGAATACGAGGATTTTGATAAATAAACATCTATCACTAAATCACGACCTTTTAGTTTATCCTGAGAAAGGGTTCCTAGTACTCGAAAAGGGCAAAATCTTTCAAATCTAGGTCCTAAAGACGAATTTTCCCAAACTCTTCCACAGACAAATTTTCTTGGTCTAATCTTGATAACCCGCTACTGGCTAACAAGAAAATCGGTGTTTATTAGAATTTGGGTTCTTACAGGTCTTTAAAAATCCTTGAAAATGCTTGAATTCTGATTGGATTTTTCAATGTTATGGAAGTGCAACTGGTCGCTCCACATTTATGACACAAACACGTGAAAAAAGCCCACAGTAAATGTTCAGTAACCATCACACATAACTCTTCCCAGTGATTGTTTAAATATATTCCATATGCATAAAAATAATGAAAGTCCTTCACGTTGTATGAGTTTATCATCACCAGTGCTAGAAACTCATAAAAGAGCTTGAATTAGATCTGGGCCAAAGTTTAATACTCCTGAAAATGTTCTGGGGGTTCAGTCATGTTCTCCAGTAGGAGATGTTTATTAGAGAGCTGCTGAAGGTAATATATATGTTATACAGCCACTCCAAAGGTCACAAGTCTGATTCTATTTGCTGCTAATCAGCTAAATAAATGAATCTTGAAGAATTGCACGTTTTGCCTATTTCCTTTTTTTTCCAGACTGAAGCCTCTTCATAGATTGCAGCGAATTCAGGCTCACTTGGTGAGAACACGCTCTGTGGTACAGATTTAAGGTTCATTCACTTCAAGTTTTACTTTAACACAGTAATGGCATTAATAATAACCACCTGATGTTGTTGACTTTTGTCAGACGTGGAATCTAATGTGTGTTTAATCAATCAGTCAATTCTACTGAGCTGAATGGGCAAAGATCCCCTGTTTCCCTCCAGATGTCGAGTCATGTGGAACCGGAGGTTCTCCTGGAGAAAGTGGGCAGAACCGGTGTGATCACCATCAACAGACCCAAAGTCCTCAACGCCCTCAACCTGACTATGATCCGACAAATCTACCCTCAGCTCAAGGTGTGATATGCACAGTTATTTACCTTCCCAGCAGTCAAAGTATTCTGAAATATTCTAATCTTAGTCAAAGTTTCTGTACATTTTCTGAAGGTCAATTTAAAAAAATTGTTGCATTTTCACTCATTTACAGTCCTGCCTGTTGTTATTTACCTTCCTCCATCTGTTTGCTTTTAGAAATGGGAAAATGACAGTGAGATGGACATTGTGATTATTAAAGGAGCAGGTGGAAAAGCTTTTTGTGCTGGTGGAGACATCAGAGGTAAGTGGACCTTTTGTAAGTTTAATCATTTCTGTTTCTATTTATTTTATGTTTTTCGTTATTCTCCTCTCAGCGGTCACAGAAGCGGGGAAGGCCGGAGGATCACTTGCTCAGGACTTTTTCCGTGAGGAATATATTCTGAATAATGCCATAGGTAAGATTTATAATTTTATTTACAGTCATAAACGCTATTTTACATTTTGCTTTTATTTATGAAGTTCCACATGTGTACTTTTTCTAAAAGGAGTTTAATTTTGTCCTTTAAGGAGCGTACAGGAAGCCGTATATTGCCATTATTGATGGGATAACAATGGGAGGGGTGAGTGATATATTCCCATTAAATAATGAGATTATAGCATGATATGTTTGATTATGATTAATCTCCACAATTTGAGGATTAAAACTGTTTTGAACTCGAGCTGTGATGATAACTGTGACCAGCAGGTGTCAGTAGAGAGCCGTGTGCTTCTGCTGGCCTCTGATTGGTGAAAATGTGATGTTATAAAACATTGTTGCTGCTGCCCCAGGAGTTAGATTAGATTTGAATTCATGGAAAAGTGTGAACTAGATTAATTGTGAAGATAAAGTTTATTTTATTTTGCCCACATGCTCACATCAAAACAGGAATCTGATGCAGAAAACTCCAAAAACAGCCATCTTTAATGATTTATTTTAACATTTTAATATTATTGGTCCCCTCCCTCACAACAACCATCCAGAGGGGACATTATTGTTGATGCAAACCATCCTCAGGGTGATCGCTGTTTAATGTTGGTTAGAAACAGGTCCGTTCTAAATATGGAGAAGTTCAGGAGACACGAGAGTCACTGTTCCCAGATCTGCTCTGAGCTGCAGGCACAACTTCCACATGGAGTGACTCTTCTTGAATTAGTGGTAACAAATCATTGGGGGTAAATGCGTGCCATCAGAATCTCACAAACGCTGTTTATCGTCACACTCACAGATCAGAGGATGAAGGTCTGAATGAGTTCCTCACTTCGCTCCATCTGAGCTGATTTAGTGTTTCTGACAGCTTATGTCAAACAAACAGCAGTTAGGAGAGTAAAAGGGTCATAAAGCTGCTGCTGAATGTTTGTGCAGAAATGTGCAACGGAAAGTTCTGCACCCCCACCTTCCCTCGACGCCAGATTTCTTTCTTTCCTGTCCACACCATGTGATGAGAAGATCAGCAAGAGCCATAAAGTACTGGACAACAGATTTTCTCCTGAGCTTTTCCGTTTCAGCCTCCAGAATCTGATTCAAACATCATGGATTCATTTCTGTTCATGGAAAATCAGGAGAACAGTTATGTCCTAAACGTTCTAACGGGTTTAAGTCCATCACTGAAGATGAGGGAAGGCCACGAGCGATTTCATTAGTTCTTGTGCAGCAGGATGTGGAGAGATGCTCTTTATGGGGCTTCACTTTGTCCCAGTTTGTGGTGAAACTGCTAATATCATTCTTTCTATGTTCATTTAGATCAAATTACCAGAAAAATAAAGAAGCCTGAACATAACAAGTTTTAAAATCTTTTTCCACACCAAAAAATATCAAAATGTTAATTTTATCAGTATTTTTGTTTAACCATACGAATTCAGAAGAGTCTGGAGAATTTTTCAGCATGATCACGTTGACAGTTACTAGTTAGACTGGAAAAAAATGACGAAGAAAGAAATAGAAATTTGACTAATTTCTTTAAAAATATTCATCTTAATAACAGAACCCTGTTTCCAACCCGTAAACGCTCTGGTTATGGTTCTTGCACACGTTTACAACCCGCCTGGTTGTGTAACGGTTGTGCAGGTGATTTTATTTTAAAAGCCCTGCATCAGAGCTCAACACCTCTCAGAGGAGCTGCATTTTTATTGTGATTCTACAAAATAAAGCCGGCCCTTCCCTTTGGGACTCTGGATGTTTTTCAGATATTGTTTCCAAGGCAACGTTTTAATCTGACGCAGCGGAGCTGCTCGTCGGCCCTCACCTTCCTCTCAGTTAGGAGCTGCGTTCAACATCAAAAACATGCTAATGGAGTTACTTTAGTTTAACAGGAGTCCTTGTCAAAACCAGGTCACAAAAAGAAATAACATCAGCATGCATCAGAAGTTTATCTGTTTGTTTGAGAACTGATGTTTTTTTGTTTCGTCTCGTTTTCTGCAGGGTGTCGGTCTGTCGGTTCACGGCAGGTTTCGAGTCGCCACGGAGAAAACGCTGTTTGCAATGCCTGAAACGGCCATCGGTGAGTCCCTCCGTGTCTTTTTCTGAGGAAGCTTTAAGATTATTTCAGCCCTGTTGCTTGTCCAAGGAGGTCTTATGTCAGATTTAGTAAATCCAGTGTTGCTCCGCCTATCACTGTGGTGCTGTTTTTGATCAGGAAGGATCAAAACCATTCCTGTTCCTGTGAACCTCAGCTCACATTAGATAAAACCAAGTCTTCACCGGGGTTTGTGCCTTTAATAAAGAAATCACCCATTTCTACTAAAAGGAACATGTTTCCTTCAGGATCAGAGCTGAACATCAGGTTTAATCATCATCAGCCAATCACTTTTGTTCTTTTTGAGGTAATTCCTTGAGTGCAAATCAGCATTGGCACTAAGCTGCGGTCTGAGCTTCAGCTAATTCACCCCTTTCAGACAGATGGCTTCATCCTGAGGCTGTGAGGAGATTAGAAAATAATCTGTAGCAGTTTATAAACTGACGCTGTGGTAGGAAGTCAAAAGTATTTTCATATTTATATTTTTGTGTAGTTAACAGCAGTTAATTAGCTAAATCAGACTTACTGGTGATCGGTTGATCAATAATTCTCTAGACTGTTCTCTTTGGCTGATTTATTCAGAAATAAAATAGAACTAAGTGGTAAAAGGCAGTTACGTTATTGTTCAGGCTTTGGTGAGGAGTTAAATCTACCATGGAGCCTGGGCTCTTTGGTGAATTTTGACACTTCATTGAAGATGATGATGTCAGAGTGAACGGAAGCGGTCTGATATTTGTGTGGGATATCCTCTAAGGCCCAGGGAGGAGGAAATGAGGCAGTGATTGACTTGTGCTGATTATACTAAGAGACAGAGGGGAATTTGGTTCCTACTGACCCACCATGTCGATCATCTCTGGTAAACAGATAAAATGCTGTTGAAATTTATCCAGCTACAAGAAACTTAGGTAAGTCCCTCTACATCAGTAATATTTGTTTCTTGTACGAAAACAACACACACAGTTTACGGCTAGCAAGGACTCAGACACCAAGTGCCGCCGTTAGCAAGCCTGCTAACGCAGAAGATGTCTGCGGCTTGGTGGAGTTTTTAACCGGACAGCAAAGGCAGAGCTACAGACACTTGTAATGTGTGACTACTGAGCATGCAACATGCTGGACACAGCTCCATGATGCCTTCGCTGTCGTCCTTTCCCTTCGAGCATCAACAAAGCAAATCACCGGTCGTGATGTTAACTAACGAGAGCAAATTCCCTATCCCTTTGTCTCAAGAGAAGAGGGCTCCTTACCTGGACATTTATCTCATCAACATTAAAACTTTTTTCTGTAAAATATGAGCTGAGCTGGAGCTCCCGATTTACCGGTCGATCTACGTTCCTACCCTCACCGATGGTTCGCGAGCTTTGGGTGGTGACTGAAAGAACGAGATTGCGACGCGGATACAAGCGGCTGACATGAGTTTCCCCCACAGGGTGGCTGGGCTCTCCCTTAGAGATAGGGTGAGAAGCTCGGTCATCCGGGAGGGGCTCGGAGTAGACCCGCTGCTCCTCCACATCGAGGCAGGCAGGGCAAGGCAGCTTTATTTATAGCACATTTCATACAGACAGGCAATTCAATGTGCTTTCCATTAGCAAGAACATCAAGAAGATTAAAGTCAATGTGACAGAAAGTACCATTTAAAAATGTATAATAAACAAAGTGAAAGGGTGAGCAGTTACAGAGCAGAAGGTGCAGCATGAGAACATTCGTTCAAAGGCTGATGAAAACATGAAGGTTTCCAATTTTGATTTCAAAGTTTCTAGAGTTGGGGCACATTTGAAGTTATGAGGAGGCTGTGTGCAGCATAGTAGCTAAAAGCAGCTTCATCCTGTTTGGTTCTGACCCGGTTCTACCAGCTGACCTCTTCCTAAGGATCTCAGAGCCCTGCTGGGCGTGTATACAGGAAGGAGATCTGACATGTATTCTGGCCCCAATCCATTGAGTAATTCATAAACTAGTAGAAGTACTTTGAAATTGATTCTGTAGTTTACTGGTAACCAGTGTAGAGATTTAAGAACAGGAGTGATGGGCTCAGAGCCAGTTGAAGTGGCTCGGACATCTAGTGAGGATGTCTTCTGGACGCTTATCTGGTGAGGTTTTCCGGTTACGTCCAACCGGGAGGAGACCTAAAGGTAGACCCAGGACACGCTGGAGGGACTATGTCTCTCACCTGGCCAGGGAACGCCTTGGGATTCCCCCGGAGGAGCTGGCACCAGTGGCTGGGGAGAGGGAAGTCTGGGCCTCTCGGCTTAGGCTGCTGCCCCCGCGATCCACCTCCGTATGGATGGGATATAATCGTGTTATCTAAAAATGACTAAGCATTTTTCTAACTGAATATTAATCATATTTAGGATAGCAGGTTATTGATTTGTGTTTTTTCAAATAAAGGGTTATAGTTTTTTGAAGTTAAATAAGCATAAATGTGGAGATAACAGGTCATTTACCTCTTTAACCACATATCTACCTGCTGTTTTCTCGTTTGTGGCGACTGATTATCACAGGTTACTGATAAAACCTAATCGTAAATGAAAGGATGAACAATTTCCTCTTTTTTACAAATCCATTCATGCCTCCCTCCACATGCATAAACAGGATTGGCAGATGTGACCAGGGCCCATCAGCATCCTGAACAAAAGCTGCAATCTGCCACATTTATAATATTACATTTTCAGCTGTAAATCAGGTCAGCTCTTAATCCCTCTCACGTCTCATCTCCCCCTCTCTCACACCACACCACAAAGGCATTGGAAGTACTTCAGCGTAACCACAGGAACATCAGGAATAACGAAATATGTACCTCGGATTCAGAAATGGAGAATTAGTATTATTTTCCTGCTCTCTTTTTCTGAAAGCAACAGTCCAGCAGAGGTTTCTTTTTCCTGTTTCTTTCCTTTCCCTACCTGCCCAGCACGAGACTCAGATGTTTACACAAACATGAGCAGGTGTTCTCTCGTTTTAAAGCGTGCACACGGCTCTAGATCAGTTTGTTTGGTAGCTCAGAATGAGGAAGCTTTAACGTCACAAACTGACCTAGGAACGGTTATCTGGATCTCATTCACCAGAAAGAAACTCTACCAGTTTTTATTTTTCATTTGTGTCCTCGTTTGTTTAAAACTGCTCATCGCTGTGTGAATGTTTTATTGTGACAGGGCTTTTTCCTGATGTTGGAGGTGGTTATTTCCTGCCGAGGCTCCGGGGGAAGCTGGGACTTTTTCTTGCCCTGACGGGGTTCCGACTGAAAGGACGAGACGTGCAGAGAGCTGGAGTCGCCACGCACTTTGTTGAATCTAACAAGGTGCTGAAACTCGAGTCGTTTTATTGGCGATATTGGTGCTGCAGGGACAAATGTAGGACACCATTCTGGACAGATGTTGACTCCGCGGGCGAATCGCTCTGGTTCAGTAGAGCCCAGTCCAAAGTCCTGGTCTGGTTCCAGCTGCTGGCTCTCAGTCAGAGCTGGGGGTAGCACTCTATCAGCAGCATGACCTTGATTTCTTAGAGCAAAAGTCGCTTTGACCGTCTCTGCAGCAGCAGTCTGATTTTAATGATAAAAGTCCTGATTAGCAGCTTTGGTGTCAACGTCTACAGATCCCAGACCTGGAGAAGGAACTCGTGGATTTGAAGTGTCCCTCAAATGCAGATATTTCCAAACTTCTTGAGTTCCACCAGAAGCAGGTGAGGGCCCACACCTGCTGATGTGAGGGATTAAAGACAGATGAGATACGGACCGATCATAACTGCTCCACACAACCCCATTTCTAATCCAGTTTTCGGTAGTAAAAGAGATGTTTCTTGTGTTTTTGTCCACAGAGTAGTCTGGACTCCGAAAAGCCTTTTGTCTTGGAGAAACATCTATCTGAAATTGACAGGTTGGCTTTTCTGTAAACTTAAATATAAAAAGAAACCATATGTGTAGAAAGTCCTTGAATCATTTTTTGTACCCACCACCAGGCTGTTCAGCTCCAGCAGTGTAGAGGGAATTATGCAGAACCTGAGAGCAGATGGTTCTGACTTTGCTAACAAACAAGCTGAGGTATGTTCTTGATCTGCATCAGCAGGGTGGCTGCACACTAACTCAGGGCTCGTGAGTCACAGGAACCAGAATGTTTACATAGCTTCGGGGTCGTGTGTCAGAGCCTCAGTCTGAAATCTCAGTGTGAAGTTTGTGAGCTTCTTCAAAGCTCTTAGCAAAATATTATTAAGTTAGGTTTCTCTTTGTAGGCATCGTGGAAACAAAGCTTCATGATGACGATGATTGTCTAATTTTGCTTCCTTTAGACTCTTTCCAAAATGTCTCCGACATCCCTGAAGATCACCTTCAAGCAGCTGCAGCTGGGCGCAGCCTTGAGCCTCCAGGACGTGTTGGTGATGGAGTATCGGCTGAGCCAGGCCTGCATGGTGAAAACCCCCAACACGTTATGTGTGATTTTTCTTGCCAACAAAACCAACTTTTATTTTATTGCAGCTGATCTTTCTCTCTTTACAAAAGGATTTTTCTTTTTTTGTTCCAACTGTTGAAGCTTTTATCACAGGAGAGAAAAGTTATTGCTCGTACATTTTTATTTCCTGAGCTAGAAGAGCTCCAGAATGGTCAAACTGTGGCTAAACTGTCTCTGTCGAACACAGAGCAACAATTACCCTTAGAACTCAAGTTAATGTGAGCATCATTTGGATCATTGAGCTATCATTCAGAAACAGACCAGGACCAAACTTTACCACTAATGATGCTGCTGGTTTGACCCGATTGTTTGTGTCGTGTTGCAGAGAGGCTGTGATTTCCATGAAGGCGTTCGAGCTGGTAAGTTACTGCTGTGGTGGGAATAAAAACAACTATAATTCTTTTATTGTTGTGAAGTTAAACGGGTTGTGACTCCATCAGTAGACAATATCCATCCATTTTCATCCGGTTATCCGGAGTCGGGTCGCGGGGGCAGTGGCCTAAGTCGAGAGGCCCAGACTTCCCTCTCCCCAGCCACTTGGGCCAGCTCCTCCGGGGGAATCCCAAGGCGTTCCCTGGCCAGGTGAGAGACATAGTCCCTCCACCGTGTCCTGGGTCTACCTTTAGGCCTCCTCCCGGTTGGACGTGCCCGGAAAACCTCACCAGGGAGGCGTCCAGGAGGCATCCTGACCAGATGCCCGAGCCACCTCAACTGGCTCCTCTCAATGTGGAGGAGCAGCGGGTCTACTCTGAGCCCCTCCCAAATGACCGAACTTCTCACCCTATCTCTAAGGGAGAGCCCAGCCACTCTTCGGAGAAAACTCATTTCGGCCGCTTGGATCCGCAATCTCGTTCTTTCGGTCACTACCCAAAGCTCATGACCATAGGTGAGGGTAGGAACGTAGATCGGCCGGTAAATCGAGAGCTTCGCCTTCTGACTCAGCTCTCTCTTCACCACGACAGACCGGTACAACGCCCGCATCACTGCAGATGCAGCACCAATCCACCTGTCGATCTCACGCTCCAGTTTTCCCTCACTCGTGAACAAGACCCTGAGATACTTAAACTCCTCCACTTGGGACAGGACCTCATCCCTGACCCGGAGAAGGCATTCTACCCTTTTCTGAATCAAGACCATGGTCTCAGATTTAGAGGAGCTGATTCTCATCCCAGCTGCTTCACACTCGGCTGCGAACCGCTCCCGTGAAAGCTGACAATCGCGTTCTGATGAAGCCAACAGGACCACATCATCTACAAAAAACAGAGATCTGATCCTCAGGCCACCAAAATGGATGTCCTCCACACCTTGGCTGCACCTAGAAATCCTGTCCATAAAGGTTATGAACTGAATCGGTGACAAAGGGCAGCCTTGGCGTAGTCCAACTCTCACTGGGAACGAGCCCGACTTACTGCCGGTAATGCGGGCCAAGCTCTGACACCGGTCATACAGGGACTTAACAGCCCATATCAGAGGGCCCAGTACCCCATACTCCCAGAGTAACCCCCACAGGGCCCCCCGAGCGACGCGGTCTAACGCCTTCTCCAAATCCACAAAACACATGTAGACTGGTTAGGCAAATTCCCACGCACCCTCCAGGATCCCCCTAAGGGTATAGAGCTGGTCCAGTGTTCCACGGCCAGGACTAAAGCCACATTGCTCCTCCTGAATCTGAGGTTCAACAATCCGACAGACCCTCCTCTCCAGAACCCCTGAATAGACCTTACCAGGAAGGCTCAGGAGTGTGATCCCCCTGTAGTTGGAACACACCCTGCGGCCCCCCTTTTTAAATAAGGGGACCACCACCCCAGTCTGCCAGTCCAGTGGGACTGCCCCCGATGTCCACGCAATATTGCAGAGCTGCGTCAGCCAACACAGCCCCACAACATCCAGAGCCTTAAGGAACTCCGGGCAGATCTCATCCACCCCCGGAGCCTTGCCACAGTGGAGCTTTTTAACCACCTCAGTGACCTCAGCACCAGAGATTTGAGAGGCTAACCCAAAGTCCCCAGACTCTGCTTCCTCACTGGAAGACATGTCGGTGGGATTGAGGAGATCTTCGAAGTATTCTGCCCACCGATCCACAACGTCCTGAGTAGAGGTCAGCAGCACACCGTCCCCACTATAGATGGTGTTGGTAGCGCACTGCCCCCCCCCCCCCCCCCCCCCCCCCCCCCCCCCCCGAGGCGCCGGATGGTGGACCAGAATCTCCTCGAAGCCGTACGGAAGTCTTGCTCTATGGTCTCACCGAACTCCTCCCATGCCCGGGTTTTTGCAGTAGACAGTATTTTACCATTAAATCTGCTCTCATCTTATCCATCCATCCATCCATCCATCCACCCACCCACCCTCTCTCCCTCTCAGCTGATGTTGGGCTCATTATCATCTAGCTGCCTCCCAGGGCAGTGACATCATCCGTGTGTCCTTCAAATGTCTCCGTTTCCTGTGTGTGTTTGTGTTTCCAGTGCTGGTTGACAGAGACCAGAACCCCAAGTGGAATCCGTCGACTCTGGACCAGGTTTCCGACCAGCTGGTAGACAAGTATTTCTCCTCGCCGGCAGAGAAGGACCTGATGTTCACATAAACCTTCACCAAGCAAACCGCATCCTGTTCTCTCCTCCTCTCGTAGTCAGACGTGGGATGTGTGGATAAAACTCTAGGACTTCATCTTCATCTGAGGATGTTTTACTGAAAAAAGGTGATTTTTTTTAGTTTGCGGTCAGAAATCAAAGCATCAGAAGAAAGAGCGGTCAGACATTAGTTTCTAAATGTTTTTGTGGAAGTGTTTTTTTTGCTGCAAAATCAAGGACTCTGCTGCATCATCACGAGGATGCGGGAGGGGGAAATGATCTCACCGTTGAGTGCTTTATTACATTTCCCGTGGGTTTGTGTTGAGTTGACATGGATCCGGATCAGTATTTCAGCTTAGTAGGCTTCGTGTGACACAGATGATGGTGATGATGTAGCTTTCTGTTTTATTTAGTGTTTTGCTTCAGAATAATTCTGTACCTTCTGTTGATGTGAGAGAACCAGATCTGCTGAGTTCGTTTGTCTGATTTGTTGTTTTTTGTTCTGCAGAAATGAAATCACTTCCTCAAACATTTAAGTCTCCATGTTTGCATTATTGATGAGTCCGATTAGAGTTCAGCGCTGAAACTGAAGCCAATAAAGGAGCTCAAACTTCCAAGTTTTCTCGTCAAAAACAGAACTTAAAAGGTTTTTGCATCAAGACATAATGAACATCATCAAAAATGACAACCTCATATAAACATCCACATATGATATACTTTTGTTATTTATTAACCAAAATAACCTCCTTTTGTAACGGCTTCGGTTTGACCTTATTGATTGTCGCATGGTTCTGGAGGAGTTCTGGTCCACCCTTCATCTGTTGACATTCAGCTTTCTGAAGGTCCCACCTCAGCATCTCACTCAGACTCTGGTCTGGACCACTGCAGGGCCTTGATCCTGCTGCTATGTTTGGATCGTGGTTCTGTTTCATAACTCGGTTTGGTCCAGACCCTATCTGTCAGACAGATGGACTTTCATTTGACTCCAGAACCCTTTAGCCTCCAGAGGAGTTCCTAGTGTAACCATCAGTCCTCCACCTCATTGCTGACAGCTGGCAACAACTGTTTGTGTTGCAATGCATTGTGGGTTAAATGAATATACATTAGCAACAGATTTCCTTTTCTTTTAATCCTCTCCCTGGTCCAGAATGTTGATTTTAAAGAGGCTGTAAGACTTGTTTTGGCAGCATGAGGCCTTCGCCATCAGAGGATAAACTCTGCGTATCTCAGACAGTAAACGGCCGTAAACACAGGCCGAGTTGATCTCTCAGTGTCACAGATAAATCCTTGTGGTTTATGACTTTGCTCTTCAAACAAACGCTGGCCAGCAGTCCTTTCTAAGTCCTGTTTGTTCTCTGTGGGGCTGAACCTTCGACCCACTCAGGGATCACCTCGTATCTGCATGTTTGACTGGTGCTTTACAGCAAACGCGTCAAGTCAGAGTAAATGTTGAAATGTCGTTTCTGGCTGAACAAAAGCTGTTCGCTGATCCAAAGATGAGAAAACAATGGACTGAAGGCATGAATCTGATTTATTGGCATCTGACTTTACAACTGTTGTACAGTCTGGTTGTATGGTGTTAGTTTACCAGAGTTTGTACAGAGTCACTCATTTAAAGATATTTTTGGTTAAAATTTTACGGCTGATGTGGTTCAGCCAATAGAAAGGAGGAGTTTTTCAATTCAATTCAAAAATACTTTATTAATCCCAGAGGGAAATGAAGATTTTCAGTACACACAGTTCTGAGATCAGACATACATACATAGACACGACAAGAATTGGTGACTGTGGTCATTCGCAACCCGAGTCGTGCTACCTTAATCGATCAAGTGGGTTTATATGAGGATAGATTCAGGGGGAGGGAAAAAGGCACTTCAGAGTTACCCTCCACAGCGAGGGTAGCTGTGCTACGCAAAAACACCTCAGACAGATATGCACACAGGCTTCAGACATTACACAACTTAAGTGTCCACTAGGTGGGGCGGTAGGGTTGGGACTCTCCTCACTTCAGTGCGTGCAGCCGCATGGAGCAGCGCTCATCACCTCTGTTTGGACAGGAGAGGGAGATAATGGGTTAGAGAGCACAGTGAATCCTAGATACGGTTCCACGGCCTTCACCGGTCACAGTCCCGCCCAGGCTGGGATAGGGAGAAAGAGTTTCCATAGCGACGGCAGCATTCCACTTTTCTTCTGAGGGGAGTTTACACTTCAGCCTCACAGGCTCCAAGGGCACCAGATTCAGATAAGAACTGTTTTGGGGACAGACAGAGATCATTTCCTCTGCCTTAGTGTTCTGTTGGTCTCCAACCCCTCTAGATCCAATAATGGCGTAATTAATCCATCCCAGTCCGTGCTGATCCGTCAACTCGCTCCTTGATGGAATCCACCTTCTGTGCCAGAGCCTGAATCTCAGCTAAAGTTCCAAGCTTATCTCATCTCATCTCAACAATTATATGAGTTTGTGCATTCACATTGCGGTGTAATCCATCCCTGAGCTCCAGGATTGAGCCAATATTCCTCGAAAGCTCATTAATTTTCCGGTAAGCCAGGTAACCGCTCAGACCAAACATCAGGAATCCTGACACCAACACCACGAATATCCAGACATCTTCAGAGTCCTCTACAGACAGTTGGGAGAGGCAGATCAGGTTCCACTGTTTCCAGGAGTCCATGATATACCCAGCTGGCTCTGTCCCAGAGGGGCATCCGGGAGCCCTTTCTCCCATTCTCATCGTTGAAAAAATTTTGTCAATCGCATTGAGACCAGCTGACCAGATCCATTTTTAATAATTTCCCGTTTCAAGAAAAAATGCAGAAAGCGCCGAGCACACAAGACAGGACAAAGAGCCTTGGGGTGAAGAGGGAGGGAGAGGAGAAAAAAAGCGTCTTTACTCTCCAAGAGCCGGAAGAAGAACATTTTCAAATTAGGTGACAGACATTATTTATTTTGGGGATCTGAACTCTGTGATGCTCCTGGGAGCTAAAGAAAAATAAAAACAGATTGATCAGGTCTTTGATTCAAGTAAAAACACCCTCAGATGAACAAATAAAGCTTAAAGAGGATGAGCTGCTTTTTCAAATGAAATCTTGGGACAAAAGTATCCTTTAATGAGGTCAAATAATCTTTTTCTGCTCTGCAGCTGCTGCATGTTCATGACCCAGTCCGTTGGAGAAGCTGTGAGTCCAGAAGTCAAACCCCTTGTGATCACTGGCAACAGAGTATTTTGGCTCAAGTTGTGATTTATTAGAGACCAGCTGGTTTGGAGCCAGTGACTCAACTTTGAGTCCACAGAGAACTAAAAGTACCAAAAATAACCTCAAATTATTAAACTATTTTTATCTTATTAGTTGTTTAAATAGTTCATGATTGTACAACTAATTAAACAAAAGAGCTCCACAGTATTTTAGAGCATAAAAATCAGTAATAAAAACAGAAAAATGTGAGGTTTTTGGGGGTCCACAAACTTCTAATGAGTGACCTTTAAAACAACAAATCACACTCCCATGAAGGATCTGATGGAAGACACGGATGCTGAAGTCAGGACTTGGATTTCAGCTCCATGGTGCAGATGTCCTGACCGGATCTTTATCATTTCACCCAAAACAGAAAACAAAAAGCCTTTCTTTGTGCTGACATGGGTAAACCTGACAGAACTGTGGGAAAAATAAATAAATACTTTAGTCATTAAAACCATCACAATGTTTTCAGGCTCTCTTCTTCAATGGCATGCTAGGCCCACAAAAAATGTAAATAAATGAAGAGAAATTCTGTCAACAATGGATTTATTTCAGGGATCTGAACCTGTGATGCTCCTGGGAGCCTAAAGCTCCTTCCCCTCCAGTCGGCTCAAGGGTCCCTGACCTGAGCAATACAAGTTATATTCTAATTTGCTTTGCATTGAATCACACATATGTTGTACTCAAGCCCCCACAACGCGGAAGTGAAATAAATTGCAGTTCCACCCTCATCCACTGGGGGCTGGTGTCAGAAGCGAGCAAATCCTCATTGACTCCCATGTTAAAAATACCAATTTCACAGCAGAAATAAACATGTTTACAGCCTGGTACCAAAACATGTTTTTGGTTTAAATGATCTAGTTTACACTCATGACAACTCTGAGGGGGTGCATTTTTTTCTCACTCTTCTGTTTAAGGCCTAGTCCACACGTAGCCGGGTTTTTTTGAAAACGAATATCCGCCCCTCCAAAAACTTGCATCCACACCACCGCGTTTTAAAAACAAACTGTCCACACGTACCCGGATAAATACGTTGTTAAGGACATGCAAGACCTGTAGGCGGCAGTACTTCCCTCGTTCTTAACCTTGTCCTTCGTCTGTGGTCTTCCGCAAGGAGCAGTAATTCCTCTTGCAAAAACAAACAAGCAGAAAGCGCTTGGACAATTGATGGATCGGGTAGTGACAGAGCGCAGCTCTGAGGGCTTCCATGATGCCGGCTAGTATAAACACAGGTCACACACGTGATGTCAGCATTTTTTGTCGTGGAAAGTGACGTTGCGGACCTTAAAACTCCGGTTTTGTCCGTCCACACGTAGACACCCAAAACGGAGAAAACGCAGATCTTCACTTTGGCCGGAGTTTTTAAAAAGATCCGTTTTCGTGTGAAAAAACTCTGTTTTCGTGTGGATGACAGGCCAAAACGTAGAAAAATATCTACGTTTTGGCAGATCCCTGGCTACGTGTGGACAGGGCCTAAGTGTATTAAAAACCTAAAATTCTGTATAATTAATGAGCATCAGACCCACGTGACCACAGAGCTAGCTCCGTGGAAAGGCCTCAGTAGAGCCTCGGTCTGGCCTGGAAACTGTTCCGGGATTTTGAGTCTCTGTCGTCGTCGTCGTCGTCTTCCTCCGCTTATCCGGGTCCGGGTCGCGGGGGCAGCATCCCAACTAGGGAGCTCCAGGCCGTCCTCTCCCCGGTCTTGTCCACCAGCTCCTCCGGCAGGACCCCAAGGCGTTCCCGGACCAGATTGGAGATGTAACCTCTCCAACGTGTCCTGGGTCGACCCGGGGGCCTTCTGCCAGCAGGACATGCCCGAAACACCTCCCCGGGGAGGCGTCCAGGAGGCATCCTGACCAGATGCCCAAACCACCTCAACTGGCTCCTTTCGATCCAGAGGAGCAGCGGTTCTACTCCGAGTCCCTCCCGAATGTCCGAGCTCCTCACCCTATCTCTAAGGCTGAGCCCGGCCACCCTACGGAGGAAACTCATTTCGGCCGCTTGTATCCGCGATCTCGTTCTTTCGGTCATTACCCAAAGCTCATGACCATAGGTGAGGATTGGGACGTAGATCGACCGGTAAATCGAGAGCCTGGCTTTCTGGCTCAGCTCCCTCTTCCCCACGACAGATCGGCTCAGCGTCCGCATCACTGCAGACGCCGAACCAATCCGCCTGTCGATCTCCCGATCCCTCCTACCCTCACTCGTGAACAAGACCCCGAGATACTTAAACTCCTCCACTTGAGGTAGGACCTCTCCCCCGACCCGGAGGTGGCAAGCCACCCTTTTCCGGTCGAGAACCATGGTCTCAGATTTGGAGGTGCTGATCCTCATCCCAGCCGCTTCACATTCGGCCGCGAACCTATCCAGCAAGAGCTGAAGGTCAGAGCTGGATGAAGCTAGGAGGACCACATCATCCGCAAAAAGCAGAGACGAGATTCTCCTGCCACCAAACTCGACACACTCCACACCACGGCTGCATCTAGAAATTCTGTCCATAAAAGTGATGAACAGAACCGGTGACAAAGGGCAGCCCTGGCGGAGTCCAACCCTCACTGGGAACAGGTCCGACTTACTACCGGCTATGCGGACCAAACTCACGCTCCTCTGGTAAAGGGACTGAATGGCCCTTAACAGAAAGCCACCCACCCCATACTCCTGGAGCGTCCCCCACAGGGTGCCCCTGGGGACACGGTCATAAGCCTTCTCCAAATCCACAAAGCACATGTGGATTGGTTGGGCAAACTCCCATGCCCCCTCCATCACCCTTGCAAGGGTATAGAGCTGGTCCACAGTTCCACGGCCAGGACGAAAACCACATTGCTCCTCCTCTATCTGAGATTCAACTATCGATCGGACCCTCCTCTCCAGTACCTTGGAGTAGACCTTTTCAGGGAGGCTGAGGAGTGTGATCCCCCTATAGTTGGAACACACCCTCAGGTCACCCTTCTTAAAGATGGGGACCACCACCCCGGTCTGCCACTCCCTAGGAACTGCCCCCGATGACCACGCAATGTTGTAGAGACGTGTCAACCATGACAGCCCTACAACATCCATAGCCTTGAGATACCCAGGACGAACCTCATCCGCCCCCGGGGCTCCGCCGCTGTGTAGTTGTTTGACTACCTCAGCAACTTCTGCCCCCGAGATCGGACAGTCCATCCCCAGGCCTCCCAGCTCTGGTTCCTCCTCGGAATGCGCATTGGTGGGATTGAGGAGCTCCTCAAAGTATTCCTTCCACCGTCCAACTATAGCCTCATTTGACGTCAGCAGCTCCCCATCCCCACTGTAAACAGTGTGAGCGAGTTGCTGCCTTCCTCTCCTGAGGCGCCGGACAGTTTGCCAGAACCTCTTTGGAGCCGATCGATAGTCTTTCTCCATGGCCTCACCAAACTCCTCCCACGCCCGAGATTTTGCCTCGGCAACTGCCACTGCTGCACCCCGCTTGGCTATCCGGTACCTGTCTGCTGCCTCCGGAGACCCACTGACCAGCCACGCCCTGTAGGCCTCCTTCTTCAGCTTGACGGCTCCCCGAACCTCTGGTGTCCACCAGCGGGTACGGGGGTTGCCACCACGACTGGCACCGGCCACCTTACGACCACAGCTAGCAACAGCCGCCTCGACAATCGCAGAGTGGAACAAGGCCCACTCGGACTCAATGTCCCCCACTGCTCTCGGGACGTGGTCAAAGCTCTGCCGGAGGTGGGAGTTGAAGACCGTCTTGACAGGTTCTTCTGCCAGGCGTTCCCAGCAGACCCTCACTATGCGTTTGGGTCTGCCAGGTCTACGCGGCATGTTCCCTTGCCATCTGATCCAACTCACCACCAGGTGGTGATCAGTTGACAGCTCCGCCCCTCTCTTCACTCGGGTGTCCAAGTGTTCACTCTTCACTCGGGTGTTCTCCTCCTTGAACCGTCACCTTATCGTGGTGGAGGAGTTTGAGTGCCCTAATGATCCTAGGAGCTATGTTGTATGGGGCACTTAGTGCCCCTGGTAGGGTCTCCCATGACAAATTGGTCTTAGGTGAAGGGTGAGACAAAGAACGGTTAGAAGGATCTTTCATGGCGGTTAAAACGAAGAGTCGGAGTACCCGGCCCGGAGGGTTACCGGGGTCCCACCCTGGAGCCAGGCCTGGGGTTGGGGCCCGTGAGCGAGCGCCTGGTGGCCGGGCTTTCGCCCATGGGGCCCGGCCGGGCCCAGCCCGAACCGGATACATGGGCTCGTCCAACTGTGGACCCACCACCCGCAGGAGGAACATGAAGGGTCCGGTGCAATGCGAATCGGGTGGCAGACCAAGGCGGGAGCCTTGGCGGTCCAATCCCCGGACAAGAAAACTAGTTTTTTGAGTCTCTGTGTTTGTGTATTCTGTTTTGGATATTTTTTGTGCAATTGTTGGACAAAATGACTTGCTGTGGCATTAATTGCACCAATGGAGCGTCCAAGGAGTCTCCACTTCATTTTTTCGGTAAGTAAAATTATATTTATGTATTTTAGGTCACTGCCAAGCTGAGCTTAGATGTTAACATGTACTGTTTAACCATGAAATTTAAATGTAATAGGGTAATACCCAGTGCATTTAACATAATGCTGCACTTTAGAAAATGGGTTGAAATATAACATGTTGGTGGAGCTGGGTTCCCACTATCGGCTTGTGGAGCTCTCGGGAGACCGATGTTTTCCACCCGGTTCTCGCCTCCCTGCAGCTCGGCGCATCTCTGTCTGATCGCGGCTTCTGTCTGCTGCGCGGGCTGCCGGCTTGTGGAGCTCTGGGATGGAAACCTTTCCACCCGGTTCTCCCCAGCGGCAGCTCTGCGCATCTCAGATCACAGCGGCCCTTGTCTGCTGTGCAGCTGCCGGCTTGTGGAGGTCTCTGAGACCTCTGTGTTCCACCCGGTTTTACCCAGCGGTCAGCCCGGCGTATCTCTGACTCCGAAGGTCTGGTGTTGTGCACAGTTAACTCCGGTTGTAGCCAGGTTGCTACCTCTGTTAGCTTAGCTCCCACCTCCGCGTTAGCTTTGGGTTAGCTTCAGGTTAGTTTGTAGCTAGTTTGACTGGGTGTCGTCAGTTGATCCCAGCCTTACAGCCCCACCCTCAGCTCCTCCTCTCTTCCCTTTTGTGGAATTGTCTGAGCTTGACGGAACCTGTGACACGGTCAAAATGGCGGTGGTGGCCACCTCCCATTTAGCCTCAAAAACCTGTTATTGGAGGCTGTGGAAACCCATTGTCCAATATTTATATGTCGTTGTTTGTACTTCAGTTTAAATGAAAAATAATTAGGTGTGTTTTGATAATGTCTGTCACATAATTAGAGATTTATTAGGTTGTAAATATTCATAATTAAAACAACTAAATATCCGATCTCGCCTATATGACGTGACCCCAGAATCTCTTCTCCCCCATCATAGCTGCTCCTCACTACATGTTCAGGGTTCAGCGTGTTGGTAGAAATTAACCAATTTCACATGAGACACCGCTCTGCTGCCTCCTGCTGACCAGAAGCAGCACTTAACAGTTTTGTGGAGCGGGTAGGTGTCCTAGGGATCACTCTTTACCTGCTTAAGGACTGTTAGCCGTTTTCTGTGCCGGTAGCTAATAAAAGGCTAGCTGTTAGCTTTTCCAGTTCACCAACTGTCAATAGAAAACATAAGAAGAAGAAAAATTAAGTTTGCTTTTTTTGTTGGCATCATGGTGGAGAATGGAAGTAAAAGTCAGAGAGTAATGTCTTTGGAGGTGAAGCAGAGCTAAATCTGGAGTAAAAATCGGCACAGCCTACACATTTGATGAAGCTATGAAATCACAGACTGATGGTGACCTAGCTTTTTTGCTACAGGATTTGTAAGTACTACATTTTGTCAAACAGTGTGGATCTTTTTACTTTGTGGCTTATTTAGTAAGAATTGGCTCATGTTTGTGTTAGCTCGCTGTTAAAGCCATCGACGGCAGGCTGCTGCAGGGTTATTTACGACAGCTGTAATTCCACTTTCAGCCAGTAGGATGGAGAAGCTGGAAACAGTTTAGTGCTACTTTAAAGCTCCTAATGTCATCCTGGAAAGATGTGAAGCTCGCTAAACTCACAACCATTTTACTTCTTCTCTTTGTCCGGTTAGCATTTGTTGTTCTCAAAATACCTAAAATAATTATTTTCGCCTGTTGAATATACGAGCTTTCTTGGCATCTAAATGTGTCTTTAAAATTCACGGACACCATATTTTAAATCCATGGAACATCCAATGGGATTATAAAATAACTTTCATCCTCTGATAGGCAGTAGACCAGAAGTAGACGTGCGTCCCTTAAGCCTCCCTATTGTAATTCAGGCTTCTGGGTGTGTTTTTACTCAGTATTTTATTGACTATGCAGTGAATTATTTTGTTTTTTCTCCAGCAGAAATAAAAGAACTTCCTTCAGTCCTTCACAATAAGAGTCTCAAACATACTATTCTCTCAGAACATCTGATGCTTATAAAAATTGTTTTATCCAAAATAGTATTAATAAACCACTTCATGAGCATCAGATGTTTTGAGGTACATGTGAAAGTTTGAGACTCTTATTGTGAAGGATTGAAAGAGTTATTCGATGGGAATGCTCAGTGATCTAGAGTGTCCTCCCTGGGTCTGGGAGATCTGGATTCAAATCCCAGTCAGGTCATACCAAATACTTAGAAAAAAAGGGACTTAATGCCTCCCTGCTTGACACTCTGCATGAAGGGGTTGGATTGGAAGGTTAAACCACCAAATGGCTCCTGAGCCATTCCCCCAGGGGATGGGTCAAATGCAGAGAACAAACTTCAACTTTATGTTGAGTTTTTTTCCCCTAGCAGACCTCTCAATGCCTTCAACCTGGTGAATTTTTCAGATTTGCTTCTCTTTAACATCTGCAGCTGCATCTCTCACCGACCACCCTACATAACCTAAAATGTGACGTGCACGTGGTCGTGGCTGTCGCTGAGTCTTAAGGGTGTTTAGAGAAAGGCAAGTGGTGACACAATGCATCCTTGTTATGGCTTTTTAGCAGAAACTTACTGTTGTTTTGGGTCATTTTATTTGACCTTATGGCAGCTAAACTGGCAGTTTGATTAGAATTTGGATAATCTAGACAGGGTTAATAATGCCCAAACTGACATCATCCCAAAGCCCAGGCTTGATTGGTGCAACAGCTGATCTTAACCACAGATAACAAGAAGCACTGATTCAGTCCTCATCTCGTGCAGGTTTGCTTCCCAGCAGCCAGACCTTCCTTCCTGTTTGTTTGGAATTGTCTCCTGTGGATTCTGGCCTTAATGAACACACAACAGCGGATGAAACTGTTTCCAAAATCAGAACTGGAACCTCTTTGAAGTTTTTGTTCGGGCAAAGTTGTGTCCACACAAATTCCAGCTCGAATCCCTTGAGTTATGGAGCCTTTTGCATGATCCATGAGTTGGAATTCAAACCCAAGTTGAAAAGCAGCTAAAGCCTGAAGAAAATCTCAGAAAGACCTTTAGAAAGTCTGGCTGCTGGGAAGGAAATTAAAGAAATGAGCAGTTGAATCATACCTGTGCCATCGCTTTCATACACAAAGAGACAATTTTTCTAAAAGTTCCCAAGTTGCTCCTTATTTGCAGACCACAGCCAGGAAATGCATCAATTTAGGCCTAGTCCACACGTAGCCATTTTTTTTAAACGAATATCCGCCCCTCCAAAAACTTGCATCCACACCACCTCATTTTAAAAAACTAAACTGTCCACACACAGCGCTTGGACAATTGATAAAGCGAGCGCAGCTCTGAGGGCATCCATGCTGTCGGCTAGTGTAAACACAGGTCGCACACGTGATGTCAGCAATTTTTTGTCGCGGAAAGTGACGTTGCGGACCTTAAAACTCCGGTTTTGTCTGTCCACACGCAGACACCCAAAACGGAGAAAACGCAGATCTTCACTTTGGCCGGAGTTTTTAACGAGATCAATTTTCCTGTGAAAAAACTCCGTTTTCGTGTGGATGACAGGCCAAAACGTAGAAAAATACCTACGTTTTGGCAGATCCCCGGCTATGTGTGGACAGGGCCTTAAATTGTACACAAGAAATCCTGAACCTGGTGGATGGGAGGCAGTGATTAAGGCGAGCTAATGGCAGTGAAACAAGCAGAGGTGGCCCATCGTTTCTCCAGGAGGAGTCTCACAGATGGTGTGTTTCTGACATGGTGATAATCAGTAAGAGTTTAAGTTCTCCAAATGATCAGATCCATTAATAACTTCCTGACCCCTGGACAACAGTGGTGGGATAGAGTTCCACAGCAGATATCTGATTAGATCTCTGTTAGAGGACAGATACGGACTGAGAAAGACGATCTCCAACTCTGAGTAGGTGGGATCAGAGCTCTTTGGTCAGTGTGAAGGAGGGGTTTAGGCTCAATCCAAGCATAATCCAATTCAAAAGTAGGTCAAAACTGAATTACAGACGGCTGGTTCCGATACCAGATAGAAGCATGAATGATTAATTCTTTCATTTGTTCCATGGACCGCCTGATATCCCGCCTCCCGTCATGGCACATCACACTCAATGTAGGGGATGTCGCTGTAGCGGCTGTCCACCTCCACCCACTGCTGCACGGCCCGGGCCACGATCTCCTCCGACAGCTTCTGGGCGTACTCCAGGAGAACCGAGTTGACCTGAGGGGAGCTCTCCACCGAGCCTGGCTCGGAGCCCACCAAGTAGGCCTTCTCGCCCCTCATCTTTTTCCTTTTTCCGTCCACCTTCTCCGTGGAGTTTGTATGTTGGGAAGCAGCCTCGCTTCTCTTGGATTTGACACACCCCATCCTCTGATGGATGAATCATTGATTCACTTCAGAGTGATCGGCGTCCAATAAGCCACTTCCTGCCTCCTTTTGACTTTAAAGTTGCTGTCATCCACTTTTATCCATGTCTGTGTGAAAAGTGACGATCAGAGAGCTTATCACATGAAGATGGTGCTTCAGGAGGTACATCCTGAATTCTTCTGTCTTTGTTCACAAGAGCTCATCATTTCCTCATCTGCAGAAAGAAAAAGTAAAGATTTCAGATATTTTTCTAGATCAAGAATAAAAAAACTCCACATGGATGAATTTTTGTAACCCGGGGTTGAGGTCAAGGGCTGGTCCTGCTTGCTTCACCTCTGCTGGGGTCATTTTAAAGCTCTCCTCCCCCATCCACTACCCCAGACTGTTTTATGACTCAATCCCTCCCATTCTGTGAGCCGTGACACAGAGACGTCTGTCTGGAGCTGGACTGGACCCAGCCTGTATCCCATCTGTTCTACTAACCCAGCCTCTGCTGCCTGATTCACTGTGACAGCTCCTTTTCTTGGACTGCAGGCCACAGAAAACATGTGCTTCATTCAGAGCATCCTGCTAGAGTCCTCAACATGTAGGCCATGAAAGATTTATGCACGAAGGAGGGGAGTCTGTCTGGGAGTAAGGCATAAGGAGGTGCAGACCCAAACATCTGCCTGCTGATGTAAAAAGGTGTTATTTAGTGTAAGAGCATCACCTACGCAGTGTGGAGCGTCTGCTCTGCAGACACGAGTCAGGAAAGCTGGACTTTTAACAGACTGAAGCAAAACGCTCTGATTCTTCCCCATTTCCAAAAGATCCGGTCACATGGTCGTTCAGGTAAACAATCATCAGATGTCCCGGTTCTCCAGAGCAACCCTCAACACTCTCAGCACAGTACACAGAAAACAAAATGATCCACCAAGTTGCCGCCGCTCTGGGCTGGTTCTGTTTTTAAAGATGACGCGCTCCACTCCTGCCAGATGTCAGAAAATCTGAGATGATGGATTAAAAACATCCAGGGGTGATGGAGTCTGTCGGTTTCCTGTTGCCTCTGTGGAGGTCAGCAGCTAGTGGAGCTCCGCGGGGATGAGGGACGCTGGTCTGGACCGGACCCTCCACGCTGATTACCGCCGAGCTGCAGAGCTGGAGAGTCCGTGCGCTGCGCATGTGCGCACCGAGCCGCGGCTCTGATCCAGCACGGAGCAATAGCGCCACTTGCCGGTGTTGTGCCATAAATCGACTCGCTGCCAAAAAATGATCAGCCGCGGGATCGCGCACGGTTAGGGCAATTGCATTTCTAGACGAAATTCCCCGGGATTTCGCCCTAAAACTCAGCATATCTAGCAATATGGACATTCAGAAAGCAGAGGTAACCTCTTCCGGTACTTAAACAGATGTTTATCACGGATATTAGTTTTTCCAGTTCGGAAGTTGTTTTAAGTGTTGCTATTTGTCTTAAACGTTCACAATGAGGATATATTAATCCTTTTTGCAATATTTGCGATTGAAATATTGTTTGTGGTAAGAACTGGCTTTCTTTATGTTACAGCCTTGATACTAAAAAATAAATAAACAATGTAAAATGGCGCCCTGTATTGAATATAAACGTTGTATAAATGGAAATAAACATTTCTCCAGCGATTTGATTTATCCCCCCTTCCTCTCTTTAGTCCACTTGACATGGAGCCACAGTTAACTAGTTTGGGGCACATTTTTACTTGAAAAATAGTATTTAAACTGATCAAGCTTTGGCTTTAATGACACTGTGTAGGTTACTATCTATACATTACTTTGCTCTATTTAAAAGTAACAAGATAAAAGCACTTCAGCACATAAAATTAAGATTGTCACTTGTCAAATAGAGACTACACCCTCCTGTTTACCTATAAGAAACGCCTCAAAATATCTTTAAATTCTTTATTGATGATTTAATTGTAGACAACTAAAATGGCATTTTACTTGCCAAAAAGTGATTGAATCGCTCAGATTTTCATGGAAGCTAAAATTGTCCAAATAAGGGTTTTATGTATTATCTGTTGATGTTATTGTACTCATACTGTCTACTGTATCATCATAAACACCCCAAAAATGGCAACAAAAAAAAAAAGATAATTTCCCTTGCCAAACAATGATCACAGTGTCCTGGTCACGTGAAAAGGGTTAAATTTACCTAAAAATTGCCTTATTTATTATCTCTTGATGTTATTAGTCCCATCACAGGATGCTGGGTGTCTTCCACATTCATAAACTGTCAGGATTTGATGTGGTGAAAGGATGTTTAGGACCCAAAATGCAGAAAACCAGATGAACCAGGCAGGAGGTAGATGATGAAAATAAATCCTTTATTTAGGAGTAGTCCAAAGGCAGGGAGCCAAAACCCAAAAATCCAATAATCTTAACTGAGAAATAAAAACACTAGAGGACTAGAGACACTGGAACGCTAGATGCTAGGAACAGGAACAAGCCTGACAAGAACAACAAACAAACATTAATGGACCGACAAGAACACAGAGACAGACAGGGCTTAAATACACTGGGAGGAGCAATCAGGGAAACAGGAAGCAGGTGTGTGGGGTGAGCTGCTGGAGGGAAGGCAGGTGACACTAATCAACTCGATGGGGAAAACAGAAACAGAGGATGGCAAATACCTTAACACAAAACTAAACAACAATTTCCTAAAGACAGAGGGAAGGACTCACACAAACTAGCTGGAGGAGGACATAGTACATACACACACTGAGCTGGGGACAACGAGGCTGGAGCTGACCTGGGAGGAAATAGTGAAAAAGATAACATCAGACACTAAATTGACACACAGAAAAAAGACACAAGAGGGCGCCAAAGGGCTACAACATAAGACACATAACAGGGATGCAGACAAGGACACATGAGGGCGCTAAGAGAGCACAAGGGGAGAACCTGGAGTGGAGCACAAGAGGAGCTGGGGAACAAAGGGACACAAGAGGGACTCTAGAGAGGGATGGAGGACACCAGGAGGCACATAAAGGAAGGGGGCTGACGCAGACCATGACAGTGCCCCCCCCCCCCCCCCCCCCCCCAAAAGGGCGGATCCCAGACGCCCACAGGAACCAGGAGCAGGGCGGGAGGAGGGGGACCCGGAGGGAGGGCCCAGAGGAACCGAGGGACCACAGGAGAGGCGGCAGGGATAAGCAGAGTCAGGAGGCCTGCCCCTGCGGCAGATGAGGAGACGAGGACGAACCCTAGGGGGCCGGCGCCTGGGGCAGATGAGGAGGCGAGGACGGTCCCTTGGAGGCCGGCGCCTGCGGCAGAGGAGCCCCGCAGGCTGGGCAGGGGACACAGGCTGGACCGGTGACAAAGTCCCCGCAGGCTGGACCGGAGCGACCCACAGAATCACCACTGGAACTGGAGATGGGGGAGACGTCAGACCAGAGGCGACGTCATCAGACGAGCCGACATCAGGGGAGGCATCAGACGAGCCGACATCAGGGCAGGCATCAGACGAGCCGACATCAGGGCAGGCATCAGACGAGCCGACATCAGGGCAGGCATCAGACGAGCCAACATCAGGGCAGGCATCAGACGAGCCGACATCAGGGGAGGCATCAGATGGGCCGGCATCAGACGGGCCGGCATCAGACGGGCCGGCATCAGACGTGCCGGCATCAGACGTGCCGGCATCAGACGAGCCGGCATCAGACAGGCAGGCATCAGACAGGCAGGCATCAGACGGGCCGGCATCAGACGGGCTGGCATCAGACGGGCAGGCATCAGACGAGCCGGCATCAGACGGGCAGGCATCAGACGAGCCGGCATCAGACGGACAGGCATCAGACGGGCAGGCATCAGACGGGCAGGCATCAGACGGGCAGGCATCAGACGAGCCGGCATCAGACGGGCAGGCATCAGACGAGCCGACATCAGGGCAGGCATCAGACGAGCCGACATCAGGGCAGGCATCAGACGAGCCGACATCAGGGCAGGCATCAGACGAGCCGACATCAGGGCAGGCATCAGACAAGCCGACATCAGGGCAGGCCTCAGACGAGCCGACATCAAGGCCTCAGACGAGCCGACATCAGGGCAGGCATCAGACGAGCCGACATCAGGGCAGGTGACATCAGACGAGCCGACATCAGACGAGCCAACATCAAGGCATCAGACGAGCCGACATCAGATGAGCCGACATCAGGGCATCAGACGAGCCGACATCAGGGCATCAGACGAGCCGACATCAGGGCATCAGACGAGCCGACATCAGAGCATCAGACGAGCCGACATCAGGGCATCAGACGAGCCGACATCAGACGAGCCGACATCAGACGAGCCGACATCAGGGCATCAGACGAGCCGACATCAGACGAGCCGACATCAGGGCATCAGACGAGCCGACATCAGACGAGCCGACATCAGGGCATCAGACGAGCCGACAGACGAGCCGACATCAGGGCATCAGACGAGCCGACAGACGAGCCGACATCAGGGCATCAGACAAGCAGACATCAGGGCATCAGACGAGCAGACATCAGGGCATCAGACGAGCCAACATCAGGGCATCAAACGAGCCGACAACAGACGAGCCGACATCAGGGCATCAGACGAGCCGACATCAGGGCATCAGACGAGCCGACATCAGGGCATCAGACGAGCCGACATCAGACGAGCCGACATCAGGGCAGGCGACGAGCCGACATCAGGGCAGGCGACGAGCCGACATCAGGGCAGGCGACAAGCCAACATCAGACGAGCCGACATCAGGGCAGGCGACGAGCCGACATCAGACGAGCCGACATCAGGGCATCAGACGAGCCGACATCAGACGAGCCGACATCAGGGCATCAGACGAGCCGACATCAGACGAGCCGACATCAGGGCATCAGACGAGCCGACATCAGACGAGCCGACATCAGGGCATCAGACGAGCCGACATCAGACGAGCCGACATCAGGGCAGGCATCAGACGAGCCGACATCAGACGAGCCGACATCAGGGCAGGCATCAGACGAGCCGACATCAGGGCATCAGACGAGCCGACATCAGACGAGCCGACATCAGGGCAGGCGACGAGCCGACATCAGACGAGCCGAAATCAGGGCAGGCGACGAGCCGACATCAGACGAGCCGACATCAGGGCAGGCGACGAGCCGACAGACGAGCCGACATCAGGGCATCCGACGAGCCGACAGACGAGCCGACATCAGGGCATCAGACGAGCCGACATCAGGGCATCAGACGAGCCGGCATCAGGGCATCAGACGAGCCGGCATCAGACGAGCCGACATCAGGGCATCAGACGAGCCGACATCAGACGAGCCGACATCAGGGCATCAGACGAGCCGGCATCAGACGAGCAGACATCAGACGAGCCGACATCAGGGCATCAGACGAGCCGACATCAGACGAGCCAACATCAGGGCATCAGACGAGCCGACAGACGAGCCGACATCAGGGCATCAGACGAGCCGACAGACGAGCCGACATCAGGGCATCAGACGAGCCGACAGACGAGCCGACATCAGAGCATCAGACGAGCCGACAGACAAGCCGACATAAGGGCATCAGACGAGCCGACAGACGAGCCGACATCAGGGCATCAGACGAGCCGACATCAGACGAGCCGACAGACGAGCCGACATCAGACGAGCCGACATCAGGGCATCAGACGAGCCGACATCGGGGCATCAGACGAGCCGACATAAGGGCATCAGACGAGCCGACATCAGGGCATCAGACGAGCCGACATCAGACGAGCCGACATCAGACGAGCCGACATCAGGGCATCAGACGAGCCGACATCAGACGAGCCGACATCAGGGCATCAGACGAGCCGACATCAGACGAGCCGACATCAGGGCATCAGACGAGCCGACAGACGAGCCGACATCAGGGCATCAGACGAGCCGACAGACGAGCCGACATCAGGGCATCAGACAAGCAGACATCAGGGCATCAGACGAGCAGACATCAGGGCATCAGACGAGCCAACATCAGGGCATCAAACGAGCCGACAACAGACGAGCCGACATCAGGGCATCAGACGAGCCGACATCAGGGCATCAGACGAGCCGACATCAGGGCATCAGACGAGCCGACATCAGACGAGCCGACATCAGGGCATCAGACGAGCCGACATCAGGGCAGGCGACGAGCCGACATCAGGGCAGGCGACGAGCCGACATCAGGGC